AGCAAAGGCAGCAATGTACATTTACTAAGTGCCTCGTCTCTCCAGCCTGTACCTAATAATTTAAATGTTTAAGTAAACAATTAGTAACAGGACCCACTGGTTTCCATACATTCTTTCCACTTGTTATAGAATTACTGTTTCTTTTAGTGATAAGAAACCTGAGACTTAGCAAGGGTTAAATTTTATTGGAGCTATAGAGTATTTAACTTGGATCTCAGTCTGTATCTACTTTTATTTCAGGCATACATTCCTTTCATAGCACCATCTGTCACAGTGGTGTGCATAAACAGATTTGCAGTGTGGGGGATTAAGATCACTAGGGTTTCATATTTCAGTCAGATACAAAGAGGAGCAGTAAGCCTCTCCAAGGAGTCAAATACTAAGCTGGTAAGAGTAAGGCTGAAGAAGGCTCTCAAAAATCGCAAGTGCATTGGAAGTATGATATAGGCCATAAAGTATCAAGAACAAGGCAGCACAGTTTAGAAAGACTGTGATCAAATTTAAAAAGATAATATTATCAAAAACTAACCTGGGATATTCATAAATATTCCCTCAAAATATAACATAGTGTACTTAAACACCAGTCTAATGGTATGACACAATAACACATTCTGAAACACTAACTTGGTACAAAAGGAAAAAAAGAGAATTAGCAGCAATGGTTTGTGAAATATGGGTGGACTAGAATGAAAAAATGACTTGAAAATCAGGGTGATTAACTTTCAGTAAAATGTAGACAAATAAAACCATGTGTACTAACATAAGAACAGTAACAATCGCATAGCCATTTTCACACTGTCTCCTATGTTTCAGAGACCATAAACATAAACTAATTCCTTTAATTCCCTCAACCTTTGTAACTAGGCTCTTTTGTGATTTACATTTTAAGAATGGGGAATTGGGGCAGAGAGGTCAGGTAACCTGACCAGAGTCACTCATATCTAGTAAACAAGGCACAAATTCCAAACTCTGAAATCTACTACAAAGCCTATATTCTTCCCACATAATAGAATCTGTTTAACAGTCAGACAAAGTTTAATGTGGAGTTGTGCATGAACTCTGGAAACCACTTAGGGAAGAAGCAGGACTTTATAAAGTTAAGAAAAAAAAGGAAACCTCTTAATAGATGATGTAAAGTCTAGAAATAATAGTCTCAAAAGGTCACTAAAATAATCATGTCCTTGAATAACAGCATCTTTTGTGCCTACAATCAGAGGCAGAATTAGCTAATACTTGGTCTGCCTCTGTTACGCACTACTTTGATTTTATAAAGGAGGATATTTTTCCTGATATAAGTGGGAGCATGCACGTGGACTTGTTAGCAGTTAATTATACAATATACCCTATGTGATTCAGGAACATTTTTTAGGAATCCTAAGCCAACTATTTAAACAAAATTATTTTTAAGATGCAATTAACAAAAATGGTAAATCTATATATTAGGGTTTTACATGATTTATTAGATTTTAATATCTGGAGATTAATGTCAAATATTGATGGAAAAGTGGGTCAATATTCTCTAACATTCACTATAGAATTAAAAACATTACATTAATTAATCTTTTTGCCCTTCTTTTTTCTTTCATTTCTTTGAGACAAGGTCTTGCGATGTAGCCATAGAACTCAGAGAATTCTTACCTCTGTTTTCCAAGGGCTGGTATTAAGGATATATGCCACTACACTAAGCTAAGTTTAACCTACATTTCCTTGATTTATTTGACTTAGGCAGATTTTCCCCCAGACCATATATAAATTATGGACAATTAGTTATACAGTACAGATACACAGCTAGTCACCTTTCATAAATATATACAAGGATATTTTCTATAAGAATACATATTGGATCAGTAGTATTGAACTGATCCAAGACTAAAATGGGCATTTAATTTCTCAACATCAAGCATCCTGTTAACTATTCTTGGGAAAGGGGATTCCAGATGCTGAGTTCAACTCTTCTTAAGACAAAAAAGACACAGAGACATCACCAAGTTAGTGCCCAGACCTTATGCTTCCTCACCTCTTTTGTGTCTTTACTCAAATACTGTCTCAGCGAGGCCTTTTCTGATGGTCAAAACTAAAACGGCAACCCACTTGAAATGCCACTTCATATTTCCTTTATCCCCCTTACCCTAGTTCATTTTTTTCCTATTACTGAGCACATTCTAACATGCTGTTTGTTTTACGTTTTCACTGCCTGTTTTCACCACTAGAGTGTAAACTCCATGAGGACAGCAATTCCAGTCTATACTTCTGAGCACACAGAACAGAGACAGGCATAAAGTACATACTCAATAAGTATTTTATGAATGAATAAATAAAGTCAAGAGAGATGATGCTGTTCCAGAAACGTTGAGAATCCAAAGCTATACCAATCTAGGAGTGGCAATGGATTCCAAGTGTACAAACCACCTTTTATTCCGTAGTAATCCAAAAGCACACAGGCATGAGATGGCTTTATGTGACCAGTATATAAACTACTTTTTAAAACTTAACAGTAAAAACAGGTAAGAATTAAGAAACAGCTGACTAGTACTAAACAAATTTGACTGTCTATAATGACGTTTTATGTTGCGTTAAAACATTTTTTAAAAACAAAGTTACAGTTGTCAGAACTTTGAGAGAAACTTCTGGGTATCGTGGCCATGCTTATAATCCCAGTGCTTGGAAAGTTGAGGCAGGACCATGAGTTCCAATAAGCTACATAGCAAGACTGTCTCATTTAAATTGAAGAAGAGAGAGAGGGAGAAAGAGAGAGAAAGAAGGGCAGATAAAGAAGTGAACTTGGTGAGCATTAAGAAAACCAGTTCTGTGAAAGAAGAGATAATATGCAAATACTCAACCATGACTAAGAACAGATTCTCTTGTCTATGAATGATAATTATTGTTAAAAATAGAAACAAGTCATTTTAAAGTAATTATAAAGTAATAGAAACTAGTGTATCAAATTCATGACAACACAAAAAGCTGTTATTAGGATTCTGGAAATGCTTTTATGTATAGTATAGAACTAATAAAGTTTTAATAAGAAGCTTAAAACTAATGGAATCCTCTTTTTTTATTGTTAATTCCAAGGAAAACAATAAAACAAAAAGGCGGACATCTGAAAATGCCTTTATCTCTGCTCCAAAAGCAAATACAAAGCTCTGATATTGGGATGGGTAAATACATATTTTTAAGATGCAAGAAAAATAGGGCTTAACTATAATTTAGAGACTGCTGACTCTAACTGTTAAAATCATAAAAAGCACTTTATTTGTTTCCAAAATCCACGAAATCAGTGCTGTAAGAACAGAGACATTTTAGTTGGGCTAAGGGGAACATAAATGTACTAAGTGGAAATATTCTCAGTAGACATGTCAATCCACCAGACTCCATATAGTTAATGCTATTTGCAGGATAAATTAAGTTTTATATAAAATTATTTATTAGGAAACAATTTCTAAGACAAATACAAAATTTACTAAATAATAGAGCAAAGCAATTTATTTGAACTTAATGTAGCTAAGATAAGAAGTGACAAGTTTAATGTTTAAGTAGAAAGAAGCTCATGCAATACTGGTTCATACAGTATAAATAATATTACGTTTATCCAAAGGGATGATATTAATGACTTATCAGAGCTTACATATCAATTAAATGTTACTTTAAAACCTGTTTTTAGAATCCTCAAAAAGTCTCACTAGTTTGTTATACCTTAAAACTCACAATTACTTAGATTAATAATCCTCAAATAGAGACAGAGGGCATAGTGTTGTAAAAGAACACCTTAATTAAAAAGCTACAAACAGGCAGCCTACATGAGCTTTTGAAGTTCTTGACAAAAATGAAACAAACATTAAAATTTTAGAGAATAGAAAAATAGACATCAATAAATTCAGAACAGAAAATCAAGCTATGAGAACTAACTTAAATTTTATCTTAATTATATTAAAATTATAGTTAGTATGGGGCAATCTACTTTCAATGACAGTGTAACTTTAGAACATGTCACTGAGAAATGTTGTCTGAGGACTAGACACAGTTATTATCTCCCAGCACCAGTGTCTTCATGTCCTGGACTGCCTGCCTGCCTTTCTGCTGAAGCAACATTAAGGGCAGCAGTCAAAATGGCTACATTTTAATTTGGTTATCAAAAGCACTGATTTGATGGGCTTTTCTTGTTCACAATTGGCCCATAAGATTAAGATCAAGAGCCAAAGCCACCAATGGGAGCCATGCTCAATTTGGTGGGCTTTGAGGCTGCCTCTGGCCAAATGAGCCAGCCTCAGCCTGATGTAGGCCAGAACCTAGAGCAGGTCCCACAGTCAGTTCATTCTCATTCCTGGGAAAGAGAGAACAGGCAGCACTTGTGTCCATCGAAGGGGACACTGTCCAGGTACACCCTGGACATGTTTTGAAATCTCTGGGCTGCTTCTGCATCTGAAAAATAAGAAAAATAGCACAATGACAGACAACGAATGAGGAAAAAGACAACCATCTGACCTAAAAACTCAAGGCATAAGGTAAGAAAAAAGCAGACAAAACAAAAAAATAAAGAGCTATATTATTTGGAATACATTATTCTGGAAGCAAGAATAGCAGAGAAAACAAATTATTTTAAGCAAAGAAAAGACCACAGCAATAAAGTTATTTTTAGAGAGCCAACTGGAGGGGGAAGAAATATATATGTTAAGACACGTAAATCTTGACACAAAGATAAGGCAGAGCAAGAATCTAGATGCATGCGAAAGCTGAAAAGAGCTGAGTAATGAGCACCACTGGTGTCATGGACTTGTGAAACTGCCTTTGTGTAAGAAACATCTCAGAACTTTGAACTTAGGAAATCCCAACTTCTCTTGCACCAGGTCATGAGCTCCACAGAGTAGGAACCTATTTCAACAAGCAGCTTAAAAATAAAAACAAAAGACTTCAGTACTTTTCACTCCTATTAAAGGCACACTTAAGAATGCAATAGTGCTAAAAATCCAAAGAAAAACACATTTAATAAAAATTAGACTTACTCAGAAAGGCGTTCAGAAGTTGGGATACAAACAGAAACTGAAATCAGAAGAAAAGTTTCACATTTACAAGAGTGTATAAACAATGCTGGGTGAAATAAAATGACTTAGTAAAGAGTCCATATTTTGGCTGACCAAAAAATAATGATAAATACAATGTCTGAAACAGTAGTTACGTATACGTACCTTTCTCTATTAAAACTTGACAAGTATGAGTTTCATGTTGACTTAAGTGTGTGGCCATATTATCTAAGCCAGAAACATCAGTTAGGAAATCACAATTAAGGCACACTAGAGAAATGCCCCTATTAAAAAAAAAACAGCAATAAAAGGTTTTATTTTTTATGAAACTATACACAGGTACTATACTATTTTTCCATGTTTTTTGTCATAACTTACATTTTGTTATATAAATTTAACATAACTTTTAGAAAATGGTGTAGCCATATCCAAATTATGATGTTATTTAAAGTATTCGTGTTTAAAATATATGGGGAAAGCTTAGTGGTAGTGAAGACCTAGAATACTCAAGTCTTGAGTTCATTCCCAGTCCCTACTCCCCCCAAAAGTATTTTTTAGGAGCATTCACCTTTTGTACCAGCTGAAAAAAAGTCTACTGCTAGATAGTCTTGGCTCTGCTAAGTGCTTGCATTAATACAGGGAAGCAGCATGTTCCTCCATCATCAGGTGAGGATATAGCATTCATTTACTTAATATGCATTTAATAAGGCTCTCTTTATATATCATCCAATAGGTGTTATGAATATAACAGTGAAAAAACTGTAGTCCACATTCTAATGGAATTTATAATATAGGGTTTCATTTAGTCAAAGATAAAGTCAGAAAAAAGATGTAAATTCTAAGAATGGATCATATGACAGCTACTATCAAGTGCATGGTATGCTTAAAGTTCTCACAATTGGTGCTATCTTCATTTAATACTGAATTAGCTAAAGTAACTAATTAGACCCTAAATCATACATGCCTGAATATCTCAAGGCAGCATCATTAACTAGCCTACCTGCCTATCTGCTGAAGTCTTAATGAAATGTGTGATGATTACAAATTATTAATGTATAAACAAACTTCTTGATTTGGCAAAGCATGGGAGGTTTGAAATGTTACATTTGGGTCTTTAATAGAGAAAGTTGGTATGCTGAAGGTAAGAAAATCTAGACAAAGAGAAAGACAATGCTCAGAGGTCAATCTAGAGACTTTGTTTCCCTTATAAGATCTTGGTGTGGGAGAATGGTCTTTATTCTGTCAATTACATTTTAAATAAATGCTGATTGGCCAGTAGCCAGGCAGAAAGTAGAGGCGGGTCAATGAGAACAGGAGAATTCTGGGAAGGAAGAAGCCCATTCCTCTGCAGTCCTGAGCCCACCACAGAAGATGTGACTGCCTCACTAAAAAAGGTATCAAGTCATGTGGCTAACATACACTAGAATAATGGGCTAATATAAGTTATAAGAGTTAATAAGAAGCATGAGTTAATGGGCCAATCTACTAATGCAGACCTCTGTGTGATTTCTTTGGGGCTAAACGGCTGTGGAACCTGGTGGGAGGCCAGAAACCAGGCAGGACAGAAACCCTGACAACAAGATCTGGCTCTAATTCTTGTGCTATGAGGGGGACAGTAACACAAGATTTTTTCATCCCCCCCCCTTTCTTTTTTTTGATTTTTGAAACAAGGTTTCTCTGTGTAACAGCCTTGACTGTCCTGGAACTCATTCTGTAGAGCAGGTCTGCCTCTGCCCCCTAGGGTACTAGGACTAAAGGCATGCACCACCATGCCCAGCCTGACTGTAAAATCCTTAAAGAATCTCCTTAATAAATTATTTTTGCTTAGGTGAAAAAAAGAATGATCACGCAATGTGATCATTGTTACTATCTTTTTTTTTTTAAGTAACAAAACCAAAAAAGCATGAAACTAGTGGCAGCAGAGATAGCTCAGCAAAGGCTACTCTTCTAAAGGACCTGAATTCAATTCCCAACACCCATGTGGAACAGATACCATCTTCTGGCCTCTGTAAGAACCAGGCATGAACATGGTGCATAGACATACATGAGAGTAAAATATTTATACACATAGTAAAATATTAATTTTTGGAATGTGAAAATAGGTCACACTATTTCCCCTGAAATTCTAATATACTATGCATTACACGTACAGGTTACTCTGGTCAAACAAACTGAAACCCCCAAATTAGTTCTTCCTGGCTGATCTTTTTTAATGATATTTTATCTGACAATGAGGCTCCAACTAGACTCTGACTCTCTGCCTTCCTAAATATATGCTATGAAGCACTTCATGATATTAGTAGTGCTATACTGTGTTTTAGACATATCATCTCATCGAAATATTACAACAACTTGAAGAAGCAGATGCAATAATTACCATTTCTTTAGCTAGTATTAGCTTAAATACTTAATCTTAGCTGAAAGGTCAAGAAGTGGTATTACTGGCATTTTAATAGAAACAAAATGTTTTGTCACTGTGGTTTGCTGTAGCTTTTTAATTAACCCAATGCCAGTGTGTCTGTCAGTTGGATGCTTGTGACTGGATGTTATAGGGTACTGTAACTATCATTAGATCATAATTTACCAAAGACAAAGCTGGTAAGGATAATTAGGTTTGAACTAAAGCACAAATTCAGTCCAATAATTCATATCATTACAAACTCAGTCCTAACTAGTTGACAGCCCCAAATTACAATACTGATGCACCTACAACTAACCTCAAATATAGCTGAACTCAACCGCCTTCAGTATTTGAGTAAGAAAAGCAAAAAGACTATATATTGATGCAAGCATTCCAGTGCTTTAAATTTACTAAAAACTGAAGCAGGTTGATGAGATAGTTTAGCAAATAAGAGCATTTGCTGTGCAAATCCAATACCTGGAAACCACCACAGAAGGAGAGAATCAATTTTTGAAAAGTCTCTTCTGCCCTCTACATATATGCTATGGTATGTGTGCATGTGTGTTTTTATGCAAACACACACAAAAATATATAAAATAAAAAACATTATTTACTTTCATATATCTTTTTGTTTTGCATTTTTTTCTGAGTCGGGATTTCTTTGGGTAATGTGGAAAAGCTTTATTTTTGTTCTCACCATAAAATGAAAATGTACTTTATATGGTCCCCCTCTGAAACTACTACAATGAATTTATCATGATACTATGACATACCTATGATCTAATGATAGTAACACAATCCTGTAACATCTAGTCACAAGCACTCAACTGACACACTGGGATTGGGTTAATTAAAAAGATACAGCAAACACAATGGCAAAGCATTTTGCACCTATTAAAATGACTGTAGTAGCACTTCTTGGCCTTTTGGCTAAGAACAAATACAGAATGCCTATAATAAAAAACAAGTAGCAAGTGCTAGAAAAGATGCAGGAATTTGTAACTCTTACACAGTACTAGTTAAGTATGTAAAATAGTGAAACTATAGTGAAAAACAGTCTATCAGCTTCTAAAAATGCTTAAAAGGGAATTAGAATTTAGCTAGCAAACCTAATCCTATTTACACACAAGAGAAATGGGTCTTTGAAAGAACTTATACAAGAATGTTCCTATCAGCATTACTTATAATGACTTCCAAATGCAAAACTAACCAAATGAATAATCTACGGTATATCCATAAAGTAAAATAGTATTCATCAACTTAAATAAGTATCACTATATTCCACACCATGGATAAACCTCGGTAGGAAGTCACTAAGGGCCCCATATAATACCATCCCATTTATTGACAAAACACCTAGAATGTACTAGTCTACACAAACACAAAGTACATTGTTGCGGGAGCTCCTTCCGCTCCGTCAGCCAATAGCCACTGAGATACCAGCCCATTGGGGTGTGGTCTGTCTCCCTTTAAAAAAGCAGCCACTTCCCTCTCCTCTTTCTGGCTTTCGGCTCCGCTTCCAGCGACTAGGCTCCTTTCCTGACTGTGCAGAGGGCTGTTGTCTGGGAAGTTTTCCCCTTTAAATAAATAACCATTCTATTAATCATAATTCCAAACTGGTTTGGGATTGTTTGTGACTTACGCCTTCATCTGGTGCCGCCCAACGTGTGGATAACTGGATCCACAGAAAGCCTGAAAAGGCTTGGGAAAGAATAAAGCATGTTTTCTTGGTCGCAGCAATTTCTTGGGTCTGCTCTGCTTGCTAGAGGCAAGCAAGCGCTCTCATCTAAGAGAGGCTTCCTGACTCAGCTGCAAAATCCTGTAGCTCTTTTAAGAGGTCCTACCATGAACACTTAAACAGTGTTGATGAAAAGCTGAACGCATGCTTTTCTGTTTTCAGCTGTAGCAGGAAAAAAGCTGTGCTGTTAAAAAATGCCGTTTTTCTGGGCCGTCCTACCAGGGCAGGAAGGCCGACTACAGAGAGAGGACTTGAGTGTTGTCTGTGAACATACTGTTGCAGCTTGCTTGCTGGAGGGACCTTGAAACGCCATAGAGTTGTGGCAATGAAAATAGCTCCAGCAGTACCTCAGAGGCTGAAAAGCTAAGGAATGGGCTGGATCTAGCCGGCAAAGCCACGGCTTTAATCCTACCCATATTGCTCAGTAATTTAAAGGCTCATGTGGTCAGAAAAATAGAGAGAGATACAGTAAAGGGAGATTCAAAAGCAAAGAAAATTTCTAAATGGTTTATAGTGTGTTAAAAATATACGCAAGCTAAAAGTTCTTAAAGTAAAAAAACAAAAAAAAAAAGGAAGAAAGAGAGTAGTTGGGTGTGGTAGTACACACCTTTAGTCCCAACCTTTGGGAGGCAGAGGGAGATTGACCTCTGTGACTTCAAGGTGTGGTAGCATACGCCTTTAATCCCAATGCCTGGGGAGCAGAGACAGACAGATCTCTGAGAGTTCAAGGACAGCCTGGTCTACAGAGTTATTCCAGGACAAAGATGTACAGAGAACCTGTCTCAAAAAATATAAGTAAAAATAAATGAAATAGAGGTTAAAATAAAGCTGCACAAAGATGGAAAATACACAGAGAATTTTGATACTGTATGCTATTATGCTCTCTTTGAATTGTTTGAATGCTGAAAAAGGAGCAATAGCTGCTAAAATATATTTGTTTATAAATGCTGCTGAACTAATCCAACATTGATATTTTGAAAATGCTTTGACTTCAGAATTTGGATCTAAGGATATGATACTTTGGAAAAGAGTTTCTTCTTTTGTTTTCACAGAGGATGAGACCCTGTGGATTGCTTCTATCCCAATAAGGTATGGTAAACCACGTCCTCCTGAAAGGTTGCTGAGAATACCCTCAAAAAATTACTTCACTCAACTGCCAACTGAGAGAAATCTAGCACACAGGTTACACCATGAAAGACCTGATTGATAGCGCCCCCATTCAGCAGGAAGCAGTTTGGAGAGAAAAAACTGCGCCCATATTCCCAAATATTGCTTATAAATGTTCTTTTACATTTAAAGGGGGATATGATATAGATATGAATAATTTGCATTGGTATGGATTTGACTTTATTGATATAAATTTAAGGTCAATCTTGTTATATGTATATGTGTTTCTGATATTGACTAAGGTATTGTGATTGTGTAGTTCATGTAAAAATGTAATGTATATAGGTTGTTAATGGATAATTATCAATAAGTCAAGCTTGTAGTCATGTTAGATTTTCTAGATGTACATAGATATATTTTAGATAGACATTCTTCATATCTTTCAAAGACTACAGAATGACATTTAATATTTTAATAACTCAGGGCTTTTCATGACAATGAGACATGTCTGCTCCTGGCAGCACCAATCTACTTCAAAAGGAAGATGGGCATCGAAGAGGCTCCTTATGGAGTTGGTTAGCCATTTGAGCAAGAAACTGCTCTTGCCTGGACTGTTGGATAAACTGGACACAAAGAACCCACAGAAAGAGGACTGCTGAACTTGCCTAAAGGTGAGATGATTCTTTGGAGTTCCTGACTCATGAAAGAGTCTGCGAGACATTCTGCAGGACACAGCAGATAGTGACTGAACTGCCTTTGAAATTTCCTGCTTCATGAAAATGTCTCTGGATACTATGGGCCTGTAGGCCAAAGATGGATGCCCCAAAGTTACAGAGGAACTTTGGGTGACTGTCCAGGCAGCGAGATGTCTCTGTCATTTCTAGAGTTTGGAAGTTGCTTATTTCTTGTTTGCTTGGGTAATACTGTATCCTTCTCGAGTCTTTGATGGAGTTGAAGAATAGTTAGTTATAGTTTTCCTTAGTTATGATAAAGATAAAATAGATGTAAATATTGTAACTGTAATTCTTACTTGAAAATTGTTTTATTATATGTAATTTTACTATGTTAAAGTTAAAGACTTCCTTTTTTTGTTTAAACAGAAAAAGGGGAAATGATGGAGGAAGGCCATTGGTTAATTAATAAAGAAACTGCTTGGCCTCATAAGTTAGAACATAGGTGAGTGGAGTAAACAGAACAGAATGCTGGGAAGAGGAAGTGAGTTCAGACGCCATGTCGCTGCTCTCCAGGGCAGACGTGATGAAGCAAGCCGCCAGGTCAGACATGCTGAATCTTTCCTGGTAAGACTGGTGCTACACAGATTACTAAATATGGGTTAGTCAAAATATGAGAGTTAGCCAGTTAGAGGCTAGAGCTAGTGGGCCAAGCAGTGTTTAAATGAATACAATTTGTGTGTTGTTATTTTGGGGCATAAGCTAGCTAGGAGGCCGGGAGCTGGGTGACAGGAACATAGCCCCGCAGCTCCTTCTACAGTACATTTAGAGCTACTTGGGGATAGGCGGCGTTGAAAGGAAATGGGAATGATTGCTAATATATGGGATTACTTTTTAAGTACTGAAAATGTACGCATACTATGACTGATACACAACTGAACGTTCTAAAATTTATTAAGATTACATGTTAAACATGTGAGGAATATGGCATGTGTGATGGTTAATCATGATTATTAATCTGAGGGGTTTAAAAAACCTCCAGCATTTCTATGAGGGAGTTTCTAGGTTAAGTGAACCAGGAAGTTCTCCCACCCCCTAAATATAGGTATGCCATCCCACAGATTGGGTCTTGGACAGAGTGAAAAAAACAAAGGGAATCAAGTGGCAGTATTCAGCAGGCTCTGCTCCCTGATTGCTGATACAATGTAACTGGTAGTCCAATCTCTTGTCACCTGACATCCCTAAAACAGACTATACCCTTGAATTGAGACAAAATAAACTTTTCCTTCCTTAAGTTGCCTGTCAGATATTTATATCATAGCAACAGGAAAAGTAACTAACACAGTATATGAATTCTAGCTTTAAAAAGTTATTACATAGAAAAAAGTTACAATCACTGTTCAACAGAAAGATTTTACAGAAATGATTTACCTGAGATTTTCCGAATGCTTCTTAAATATACAAAACCTTTTACTTGGACGGTTACTATGAAAGCTGGAAAGACAAAAATGATTACAATACTTTTATTGGACAGAAAGTCACACTGATTTATAAACGCATTTAAAGTCTATATTTAAGTTTCTAATAAAATAGCATGATGAGAATACTACTCATGTTTCCTTTTAACTCATTGTGTCCCCCCCCCCTTTTTTTACACACTGGTCTCAAACTTATGAGCCAAGGAGGTCTCCTACTTTGACTTCTGAGTAGTTGAAACTAAAAATTTGTACCACCATGTGTGACTATATCCTTTGCTTCATTTTAAGTTTTTTAGTTTATGCATATGGACATTTTGCCTGTATGTATGTCTGTGAACCATGTGTGTGCCTGTTGCCCATGGAGGGCATTGAATCTCCTGGAAAGGAAGGTACAGATAGATGATTGTAACTGCCATGGATATTGGAATCAGAAACCTAATACTATGAAAGAGCAGTAGGTGCTCTTTACTGCTGAGACATCTTTCCAGTCCTGTGGGTATCATCTTTGTATTTTTTCTATTAACATCTCTTTTCCCTAAGCATATTCCCAATCAAAAGCTCAAGGTTACATAAAAAGGGAAATAAAAAAATATAGAGCAATAAACTCAACTTTTATCTGTTAAACATTAAAAAAAATTTGAATTTCTGCAAGTGGTATTTTTACCATAATACGAACCAATCATAATTTACCACATTTTAGTCTTAGCAAGCTTACATAAATGGAAGGGGATTCAAACAAATTTTAAAAAATTTAAATGGTTTACATTTTTAAAACCAAATATTTCAATAGGTCTTTTGAGATTACCAGCAGCAGTTTAAAAAACACAATGAAAATAAGGACTCCTAGGTTAAAATGATGCCCCTCTTAACAGAAAACAGAAAAATCCCTAACCATACTTTCAGCCATATGAACAGAGGTATTCTATGCCCTTTATCTCTTTCTTGTACTAAAAGCCAGGGCTGGTTTAGTACAGTTATTTCTAAAAGTGAAGTCACACACAATAGTCCCAGTATCACCTGAGTACTTACTTAAAAACGTAAAGTCTTAAGTTACCCACAAACCTACTTAATTCATCTCTGGCAATGAAGTTTTAACATACTTTGTCAGTGATTATAATGCATGCTTAGGTAAATTTAATACAGGCTGTGAAAACAGATAACTATTCTGAGTAGCTGCAAACTTAGGAAATATTCTTCAAAGTTTGCAAAGATTTTATATCCTCAGAAGAGTTCAGATGGTTAATTCTTCAATTTGGGATAAGTATTACTAAAGAATTTACAAGTATATGTATGATGGTATCACAAAAATCTTGTTTTTAACATCAACAAGTTGAGAATACTCAAAACTACTTGCAAAAATTTGTACACATGATTGTTCCCTTGAGAAACTAGTCTAAGATTCCATCCGATTCATAAAATATATGAATCAAATACTACCTTAAAAAATAAAATTCAAAAATTATCTTTCTTTAGATAATAATACCTATTAGGAAAGTGAGATTAAAATAACATTATAAGGTCATTCTGATGCTTTCAAATATGTCTACAATTTGTACCATTAAAATATTAATAACAATTTCAAAGTTATTTGAGCCCTAGCGATAAATAAAATTTTCTATTTCTTCTCTTTGTATTATGTAAATTTAAAACACAATTCTGGTGCTGGTGATAGCTCAAAGGTTAAGAGCACTGACTGCTCTTCCAGAGGTCCTGAGTTCAATTCCCAGCAGCTACATGGTGGTTCACAACCATCTATAATAAAATCTGATGCTCTCTTCTGGCCTGCAGGCATACATGCAGACAGAACACTATATACATAATAAATAAATCTTTTAAAAAATGATGAAAAAAATAAAACAAAAATTCCATGATTTTATAATTAACAAAAAGTAGGGACAGCTAAATGTGGTGACACATACCTATAATTCTATTATTTGGGAGGCTGAAACAAGGGAATTCAAGTTCAAGGCCCATCTGGGCTACACAGTGAAACAAATGCCTTATTTAAAAAAAAAGAAGAAGAAGAAAAAGAAAAGAATGAAAAATGTGCTAGGAAAGAAAGAAATCAAGCACAGAAACAATTTTCCTAAAAGCCTTAAAGAAACAAACAAAAATCTTAAAATGACCTAACAAAGGAACTGCCAAGACCTCTCCAATAAAAACTTGCAGATACAGAAGAAATGGAGGAAGAAACCTGAAGATGGAAAGGCTTTCCACGCTAATAAACTGGAAAAATTAATATTGTGAAATGACCATTGTACCAAAGGCAATATACAGACTGAATGAAATCCCAATAAAAATTCCAATATCATTCTTCAGAAAAACCAAAAAAAAAAAAAAGCCAATCTTAAGATACATTTGGAAGCACAAATAACCTCAGATAGAGAAATAATTCTCAACAAAAATAGAAACGCTGACTGTATGACTGCACCTTAACCCATGCTCCCGTGAGCAACCTTAGTAAAACTCCCTGGTGCAACCATGCATTGTGTGTACATATACACACAGACAATAATTAAAATTTTATATTATGAAGTGAAACTAGTATGAATGTCACATACATTTCAGAACTGAACATAATAAAAAGAAAGGGAAAAGGAGAAAAGTTTCGAAGTTATGTTGGTCTTTATGACAAGCAAATATGACTAAAGAGTAAATGAGAAAACAAAACAGCATTGAAAATAATGACCTTGATGACCAGTGACAACAGAGCTCAGTAGATACTGAACATCACAGACTCAAAGGAATTCAAAGCAAAGAAGCACAGACAGGTATTGAAATGGCCCTATTAGGTAAGAAAGAGGACAAACACCATGGAAGTGCTGAAACTGTATATGACAGGGTACCAGGAGGCCAGGCTGAAACCTATGGAAGCCACCTTAAAGGTAGGATGACCTCTGAAAGTAGCATCTGGCAATGATCAAAAAGCAACAAGAAAGACAGGCTATGACCTAAAAGGAACTCAGTTACACATGAATTTTATAAAAAAAAAGAAAAAGAAAGAAAAGAAAAGAAAAACCAAACAAAACAAAAACTCACAACAGCATCATTCTGAATAGGCAATATCAGGTTTATTTATACAAGGACAATTTTGGTTCTTGTTTCTCTCTCCAGAGAACCCAGGTTAAGTTCCCAGCACCCATAAAGACAACCATAACTGCCTATTACAATTCTAGCTCCAGACACCCTCTTTTGGTCTCCACAGGCACCCATACACATGTGGCATACACTTACAAAGACACACATATGCATAAATAAAAACAAAATCAACCCTGGAAGAGTAACGTGTTCGGTAACAGTAATATCCAAATGTAGTTCATGAGAATCTATTATAGAGCAAATGACAGGTACTCAATGTAGAATGAATGCATTATTGGAAAAATTCCCATGGTGGCATCATGACATTCATTGAATAGATGTAAGCACATACAGTTTCAAGATGGACAGACACATGGCAAACAAAAAGATGGATTACAGAGAGAGACGTGGGGGAAACAAATCCAGTAAAGTTCCTAGCATCACTGGAAATCCTCAAGACTCTGACTGCTTTGAAGAGAATGACAGTCATGGGCATGCATGGAGTTGTTAGTTAAAACATGTAGACTTGTTGGGAAATAACCATTTTAAAACATTTTTGGGGAAGAAAAATAAATCTGACACAATAATTACTCCTTTAACAAATATATCTTAATTTCATTAGCTTAATTAACCATTTCACACAGTAATTTCTTGATTTGCTTTATTATAACAGAAAGGGCTACTAGGCTTCTAATACAATTTGTTTTCAAAACAAAAGCTTCTTCAATTATAATTATAAAAGGCAAAACACTGAACTCATCTTACCTCATCATATGATTTACATAGGCTTTGCTACAGCTAGTGTTGTATCTGCAAAAACTACAGTGGACATATGTAGGAAAATGGTTTGCAAAATCTTTTATTTCAGAACAACACTCAATACACTCGTGAACACCTCGACGTAACCTTGTGGAGACATAAAAAAGATATTTAAAACAAAAGCAGTCAGAGAGGGCTATTAGTAAACATAATGCTGCTAGACTTGAGTTTGACTGGGAGTGTGCGTCAGAAGCAAAGCATACCTTAGGTTCCTCAATGCCGTGTTCACCTTACTTTTCTTATTACTATTAGCGAGTGTGCTTTGTTTCTTCTGAGTAGTACAGACTTTTGACCTGATTTTAGATTTATTTCCATTAGACTTGCTTTCATTAGGTTGACTGGGATCAGGTACGGTTGTATTCGGTGTACTTGTATTCAATTTAGTGGGATTTTTAGAAGTTGTATTTTCAGTCCTTGGAGGTGAGAGCTGGAGGGTAGAAGTGCTTGCGCTGATGGAAGGTATAGCTGAAGATCCTGGTTGAAGAGGTCCAACTGAAGCTCGAATAGTAACCTACAAAAATGAAGGAAATACTTACTTTAAAAAAAATTAACCACTGTATAAAATAAGATAAATCTTAAGTATTCTTTAAAAAGCACAGATAACTAACTAGGTTTAGCCATCTATTTGCTTTAGTCAACCAATTAAATAAATTCAAGTCACATAAAATATCTATTCATATATCTTATAATTTATTGTATGTTAACATTGTTATTAATAAATAAGATTAATACAAATTGTATGACTCTAAGAAGATCACATTTCATAGCTACTTTTATGATCTGATATAACTAAATGTAATTTCCGAACACAAGAAAACAAAACTTACGTAATAAAGACTGAAAAAGATAACTCTAAAAAGGCCTGTTACCCTTTAAAAATTACTAGCATTAAACAAATATTGGCAGCAAGAGTGACTTGTTCTTTTTGGATCATACTTCCTAGGATTTAGGCAAGTGGTTTTACCAATTCATTATACTATAAGGAGATTATAACATTTACAATTCTTGCTCGGCATGGTGGTTGCACACCTTTAAACCCTGCACTCAGGAGGCAGAGGCAGTGGATCTCTGTGAGTTCATGGCCAGCCTGGTCTACAGAGCAAGTTCCAGGACAGGCTCCAAAGCTACACAGAGAAACCCTGTCTCAAAAAAACAGGGGGAAAAAAGTTCTTTAAAAGAACCAATAAGGTTTATTATTTACTATTCATAAAACATTTCGTTCTATCTGTTGGCTGACAATGCAAACGTCACCTACCAACATCTGCTTTAATCATTTGACTATACTCTCCTCACATCTCAGAGACAGCCAATGCTGAGTCCTAACATGTGCTTATATGATGTACAAAAACACTGGGCCAAGAATCCAAAGACCTGAAGTTAATCTGCCTTCCTAGCTATGTAACCTTGCAAAAGTAACTGAATCTTAAGCCATTTCACATCTTCCACACACGGTAATGTTAGCTTTATGTGCATAATTTATATTGTATGGATTAAGCTAAAGAATACATGAAAAAGCACATTTAGAAATAGGTAATTCTAAGGTGCTAGAAAAACATTTAGTATCATTAATATTATTACTATTAACATGGGAAGAAAGGAGAGGACTGCACTGCTTACATTAGTATCTGCATGTGTAGTCCCAACATGAAAGGAATGGTGTGCAGGGAAGGATGTTGGCTAGCTCCTCTTGCTCTAAGTCTTCAGAGCAGGGCTTTATATTATTTAGTCAATTCAAATAAAAGACATACCCACATTCAAAGGTAAGTACCCAAAGGCAAATATAAATGTTTTGGGGATTGTTTCACTTTGGATTATCCATGCCTCTGTTTTCCCTCCACTGGAGCAAATATTCAAGAGCTGACTGTATATAAAGAAGTCAGAGAAAACAGATGTATATAAGGCAAAAGGGGAACAGTAAATTACAATCATCAATTTACAGTCAGACAAGTGCTTGCTCACAATGCTGTCCAGCAGCAGAATTTGCTTCTTTGAGAGTAGACACAGCATTAATAACTTCAACAAACATCTGAGAACCTGTAGCATTAGGCACTCTAAAAAGATACTAGAGATACAAAGATAAATGAAAGAATATGATTCCTGATATCAAATGCCTTAGTGTACGGCTATTAAAACTAATAATGCATATGCTACTAACTAGAAAAGTTGAAACAGTCATACAGAATTGAAATAACCCACTGATCAAGGGAGCAGTTTATTCAATTGTACTTTTTATGAAGGAATATACCCACACAGGAACTCATAACAATGGTTAGATATTTTTCTTTCTAAGTACAAAAGCAGTAAAACCTAAAATTAGTCTTAATAAAAATCAGAAGTCATTTTCTAACATATTTTGTTCCATAGATAAAACAAGGCAGGAGTTAGTTTTTAGCATACAAATCAAATAACACCATATACTTGAACGTACTTTTGTTCCAGGAGGCAGTCCTTCTAGCTGCTTGGGTTTTACAAATGTTCGATGGTGTTGAGTCTTGTGATCCATTTTTTCCTTGCATGTCAAAAACTGCAATCTGCATTTGGTACAACGATGTATTCCCTTTTTCTATTAGAAAAAAGGAAAATAATATCTATAGCTATAAATTCTGTTCTGAAACCTTTAGTTTTAGTGATATTCTATAATAAATCAAAGAATCATTTCATTTTTAAAACTTGTATTAATTAGTATTGGATCTCAAGAGTATATCTGTTATGTGGCAATCAAACACGAGGGTTGAGGAAATGGCTCAGTGGTTAAGAGCACGAGCTGTTCTTCCAGAGAACCTGGGTTTGATGGCTACCACCCAAAGCTACAGAGAAACCCTGTCTCGGAAATAAATAAATAAATAAATAAATAAATAAATAAATAAAATTATGATATGAAATGTCTTTTAGTCTTAAGCCAACCATCTAACCTGACACTAAAATTTAGTTATTATGTGTTTTTATGTAGAAAAAAATGTTATTTGGAGGTTAAAGAGATGGTTCAGCAGTTAACTGTTCATACTTCTCTTCCAAAGGACCCCAAGTTCAATACCTACCATATGCACATATCCACACACATACATATAATTTTTTAACTGTTATTTTTTAAATTTTGCTATTTCCGGGCTGGAGGGATGGCTCAGTGGTTAAGAGCATTGCCTGCTCTTCCAAAGGTCCTGAGTTCAATTCCCAGCAACCACGTGGTGGCTCACAACCATCTGTAAAAAGTTCTGGTGCCCTCTTCTGGCCTGCAGGCATACATGCAGACAGAATATAGTATACATAATGAATAAACATTTAAAAAAATTGCTATTTCCCATTGGTCTGTATGTGGATAAAATGACTAACATGACCTCTCTAAAACCAAATAAATTTAACGGGACATTTCGAAGAAATGAAAGCAGTATTATTCAATAAACTTCCTATAGTAAGAAAGCATTCTGTGGCTGTGCTGCCCAACATGATTGCCATTAGTCACTCATGATTGCTGAGTACAAATAATAAGCAGTAATATTAAAGGACTGAGGAGAATGTTTTTACTCTTGACCTGCTTACTGCATACTGTATATTGTATCAAATTAGCACACAGTATTTCACAAAATACACAATTGTTACATGTCAACACAGCATTTTAAAAGGAGCTGAAGAGATGTCTTCAGTTAAGAGCACTGCCTTCTCTTCCAGAGGACCGACGCGGTGCTCACAAGCATGTGTAACTTCAGTTCTAGAGGATCCAATGGAAGCCTTTTTCTGCTCTCTGCAGGTGCCAGGCACACACATGGTGCACGGACTTCGATACAGGCAAAATAACAACATACATTAAAGAAAAAAAATTTTTTTCTCTCACAGAGATCCACCTGCCTCTGCTTCTTGAGTGCTGGAATTAAAGGCATGCGCTATCACTGCCCAGCTAAGAAAAGATTTTTTAAATGAATTAAAAAAAAAAAACAACAACAGACAACAGTTACAATGCTCAAAGCAGTGAATAATAGTAAGGTGCTATAGTTCTAACTTCATCTTATGATTATTTTATAAGCATGATTCAGTAGATTTTTTTTCACAGATGCACGCAACACGAATTCATTTATTGTGTACTCAAAGAGGATGAATTAAAACAGAAAATACGGCCAAGAATCAGAAACTAAACAGGCTGAAAAAGACAGTTCACATGAGTTAGTTCATCTCCCAGAAATGTTTTTCTGTATACTCACTCACAACAGTTCACAATTTCATGATTTTCTAACTGAACCCAACAGACAAGTACATGACAATGGGAAAACCTGGTGGGCAGACTTTAAAAAGTACAAATACACTGAGCTTTGCAGTGAGCTGACAAAACCTGACCACACCATCAGATCCAGTGTAGACATGGGTTTCTGATTCCAAGAAAGGCATCATTGCTAAGACAGGTTTCAGTGTTTCAGCAACATTTTTAGCTTAAAAGATGGTTTAATTGCTCCAGGAAAAGAACCACTAAGTATCACATCAGAGAAGTAAGGAACAACCAATGATGAGTTCCAGACATCACATAGCTAAAGCTAGCAGAAGTCACTCAGGAAACAAGCTATGCTCTGGCAGAGTTCCAATGCTGAGGGAGCATTGTCATAATACTGTGAAATGTTACCCTAGGTCTGTAATGACAACACCAGGATCTGGACAATGGGGTGAAAACACAAGACAAAGATACAAACAAGATTAAGAATTCTCTATCTTGATTCTTTCAATTCTAACTCACTTTTTTTCCTCTTGAGAGGGTACTTCAAAATCATTCCCACATCTACTGAGACCCTGAAGTAGCCAATCTTTCCCATATTCCATTTGCCTTTTGTTTTGTTTAAATCCTAGGCTTCCTATTCCTTGTCGTCTCTGAGACTCATCACTATTTATAGGCCATGAGAAAATTAGAAAAGGAAAGACATGGAAGCTTTACAAGTGATTCTATACATAATTTAAATCACTTGTATACATGGAACAACTTTATTTCCTTTGAAGAACAAACTGAATATTCTGAGTGATAATCAAGTAACATGAAAAAGTAAAAATTACTAAACTCACCTGATGCTTCATGTAATGATGCATATAGGGTGTGGCAATTTTAATAACTTTAAGGCAAAATGGACATAGCAAATTCTTAGTGTTTTCATGCGATGTTCTAAAATGAGATTCTACATCAGAAAATAATGATGATCTATAATTGCAAACCTAGAAATGAAAAACATTAAGTTGAAATGGAAAGTTTGTAATTGATTTGAAAGTACAAAGTGACAAAGAATCACTTGTTAGATTATATACTACCAATATCCAGCTCTGATGCCTATCCATGCAAGAAGCTCACTAACGAAAGCACTAAAAGTCAGAATAGGGTGATCCTTCAGAACTCAAGACTGCTTCCTAAATATAATAGATACTTTCATTTTTTTTAAAGATTTATTTATTATGTATACAGTATTCTTGGTATTCTTTCTGCATGTATGCCTGTAGGCCAGAAGAGGGCACCAGATCTCATTACAGATGATTGTGAGCCACCATGTGGTTGCTGGGAATTGAACTCAGGACCTCTGGAAGAGCAGGCAGTGCTCTTAACCACTGAGCCATCTCTCCAGCCCCGATACCTTCATTTTTTATCACATCACTTCCCTGTCACCCCGTCTTCTCTTGAATTTTGAAGCTTTGGAACCTTCTGGAGGTTGTGGAGTCCTATAAAATACTTTATCTCTGCATAAAACAGTACTTGCCATCAGATTATAAATACAGCCTCCAAGCTATGAAAGTGGCAATTCATCTCCCTCCAGCTTTCCTATTCCTTCAAATTCTGAAGAAATACTTGTACCAAAGCACATGACAGGCTCTGTATAACTAAGCATTTTCACATTGGTCATATGGATGCACTATTCCCTCTAGGGTAAAGTAAATCGTAAATCCACATCTATTTTTCTGATCAGGCTCCTCTCTTTCTAGTGTCCAGGAGCAAACAGCAGCCTCTGGCCAAATAAAGTTCACTATCTTCCCCTCATGTAATGTATGAAATATGCAAGAGACTTTACATTCGTAAACTAAGTAGGAGGGACTTTAATTTTAGCTACCCTTTTTACCTAAATAGTAAAAAAAAGACCAATAGGCCGGGCAATGGTGGCGCACGCCTTTAATCCCAGCACTCGGGAGGCAGAGGCAGGCGGATCTCTGTGAGTTCGAGACTAGCCTGGTCTACAGAGCTAGTTCCAGGACAGGCTCCAAAGTCACAGAGAAACCCTGTCTCAAAAAACCAAAAAAAAAAAGACCAATATATTTCACCACACATGAAAATTAGCTAAAATTCAAAAATCATAGTCCTTAAAGTTTTATTGGAACATGAACACATCCATTCATTCTCCTACTCTCATTTTGCTGACTTGCCACAATGGGAGAGTTGACTGGCTCTGAGAGACTGTAATCTCTCTAAAATTAAATGTTTAATGTTGGTCCCTTAACTAAAAAGATTTCTAACAATTTGTTTAACAACTACAAATCTTAACACCAAAACAACAAATAGTAAAGAACACTATAAAACATGGATGGATGTACCTGGCAGATATACGGCATTTCACCAGGTTTATGATTATCCTTCATATGTTGTAAAAGAATCTGTTCAGTTTCAAACGATAGCTCACAGATTTTACAAATGGCTATAAATAGAAGGAATAAAGTTATTACAACATTTTAATACATGAATATAAAGGTTCATTCATTTTTGTCTAAAGGTAAATGGAACAGCAGTGAGAGGTCGTGAGCAATCACACACAAAAAAACCCAGTGCAAGTCCTCTAATTCCTCTTTTAGCACTACTGCAAATGCATGTTCATCATCCTATTGTCTCAGTACCAAATAATCTGAGTTCACGTAGCAATACATGACACACATCTGGAATTTCAACTGAAACTGTTGAAGTAAGTTAACTTTTTGAATTTTGCCCCCAAAATTCAAAGTCTGTTTCTTGTTTCTATTTCTGCAATAGTTTTCTCAAGACTGCGTAACTTCAACAGTAAAGAAACACTCGAAACTGAAAGGCAGCGTTAGCGTTAACTCACTAGAAAACTCATGAAGCGTGTGTGTGCTCTCGATGTGGCACTGCAGCTGGAAGGGCGTGGGAAACTGGCGGTAGCAGTGCTGGCAAGTGGTGTGCTTCTCCCAGCTCTCGCTGCTCTGCTTCTCAAGTTCCAAATGGTGTTTCATGTGGTTCATAAACCTGTAAAAGATTGTCAACAGGTGCAAAGATTCAAATTAAAACACTCAAAAGAAAATCTCAAACCCCATTATAAATAAAATTGTGAATACTATTCAAAATCTAGAATCTTCAATTTCTCTAGAAAAGTGCATGTCTTAAATAATGACCTCAAGTGGACACTTTTTAATCTTTGTTCTCAAATGTCACTAGTTTCAGATGATTGTTTTTAGATAAAATGGCAGGGTTGTCTACATTGTTAAGGACTATTCACACTGTAAAATTTAATAGTGGAAGAGAATCCTATCAGCAAAAGCAGCTAGAGTCATGGGGAAAATCCTTTAAGATCTTGAAGATACACAATAAATTCCAGCTACTAGTATTTTTTACTTTGTTTTAAAATGCATAAGAGCAGTTCTAATGCCTGCAATTGTAACTTTTCATTTTATTTAGTGACACTGTTTACCGTTTGCACAAACTGTTCATTTTGCATACTGTGTCCTTTGTAAGACAATCTCCATTTTTTAGTTTTACACTTTGCTATTTCAGCATCCCTACAGGCTTCTGATGAGCAGAACTATGACCCTAAGTATAGAGTATGGTATACCTATTTAAAAGTACTTACTTAAGCTTTTGGCTTAATTGGAAAGTAATATTACTTGAGCAAAATAATTTTCAGAATGGGTCAACTATTAGTAAATTATTCAGTTGGAGGCTTCAAAAGAAATGACCATAAAATTATATGATAATGTTATCAATCCAGAGAACAGCCATCATGAAGGCTGTGACATCCTTTTTTCCCCCCTATCTCTAAAACATAGTATCTCTTCAAAGCAGGTTGAATTACACTTTGAGTCCAAGGTGATTCCCTCTCCAAAGGGCTGACTAGTGCCCCTTTCAGGAATGTAGCAACTTGGAAGAAAATCTGACATGCCTGAGGTCTGGGGAACAAGGGTTGCTTGTTGCCTTTGTCAGCCTACATGTATGCCTAATCAGTCTGGGTAGATTATCTTCTGACAGCTCTATCATCTTTCTTGACCTAGGCCAGAGGCATTGATGTGCAGCAGGTCTCCCTAGTCATCAATTACGACCTTCCCACCAACAGGGAAAACTACATCCACAGAATTGGCCACAGCGGTCGCTTTGACCATAAAAGTGTGGCCATTAACGTGGTGACAGAAGACAGTTTATACCCTATCTCCTGAGAGAATACGGAACTCAGTGGTGGAGGTCTACTTCAAGACTGATTCCAAAGCACAACTTCCCTGCTAAACTACTGGGACCACTAGCTCTTGAAGAAGGTGAAGTAGTGTAAGAGCTTGGGGAATATACAAAATCACACACACACACACACACACAAAAAAAGCCTGTGAGCATCATTGTATCAGCGAGCCACAGAAGCATAAAAATGAATGAACCCTGGAGCTGAAGAGGTAACTGTTGGTGTATAAAATGCTAAGTCACAAGATTTTTAATAAATGTAAAAGATATGGTAAATGTATGTGTATTTGTATACAATAATCTTTTCATTCATTTTTGAGAGTTGAGTTTTGTGTATGTTATTATTATATTCTCATCTCTCTCCAAATTTGTCCCATATCTACTCCTGAAGTACAACTTATCTAAGTATACTCAGGTCTGATTCTTATTATGAAATGTACATAAAAGAAAAATCAGTTTTCATCAACAGCTTAATTTTTAAAAAATAAGATTGTTTAAAAGAAAGACAAAGGAAAACAATAAAACAACTATAATAAGGGTAGAAGACACAAGGTGGCAAGTGTCCAATGTAAAACTTTAAAATTCTTAGTGAATATTTGAAAGTTTTTATGAGAGTAGAAAAGTCTTACCTAATAAAATAAAAAATTTAGACTATATAATATATGAAAACCATCATTCAACATATCTCTTTGCTTTTTTCTTCTTTTTGGTTTATCAAAACTGGATTTTTCTTTATGTAGTTCTGGCTGTCCTAAAACTCACTCTGTAGACCAGGCAGACCTCGAATTTACAAAGATCCGCCTGCCTTTGCCTCCCAAGAGCTATGATTAAAGGTGTGTACCATCACTGCCTGGTGACTTCTTGTTATTCTTCTAAGTTTTTTTGGTTTTGTTTTCTGAGACAAAGTTTCTCTCTGTAGACCTGTGGTTGTCCAGGAATTCATTCTACACACCCATGCTAGCCTCGAACTCACAGAGATCTGCCTGCCTGGCAAAGGTGCTATTTTTATAACATAGGCCACTCAAAGAATACAAGTATAAATTGCTAAAACTTAAAAACATTTGTATGTAAAAATTTTTAAATTCCATTGAGAATGATATATCTAATTTTTATTTAAATTTTAAAATTAAGACAGACACGTCTTCTAGTAGTACTTCTCTAAAGCGGTCAATTCCTATAAGATATATACAATAAAGATGATAAATATAAAGTGGGAGGTTTGAGCATCAAATAGTATTAGTAAGGAGAAAGTCAATCTGAAACCTTCTGAAGAAGTACTTCTTGTATTGTGAAGAAATTATACTATTCAGAGAAATTAGAAAATTCAAAACACACAATAAATTCCTAAATCACTAATAAGTTCATTTTGATTCAAATTAAAATAATCTGTCCTTTCTTAAGCCATATGAAAGACAAAAATAGCAAGATTTAAGAGGAAAATCTGAAAATACAACAAAGGAGAACATACTGAAATTGCTATCTAGAATGGCAACACAGTGTATGATAAAGACACAATGGTAACATCTCTAACATTTCAATTTTCATTAAATAGAAATTCCTATTTACATACCTAATATTATTTTTGAGAACTTTCAAACAACTGAAGCATTTAAAGGTTGTGTGAGTCTTCAGTTCTTCTTGGACATCTCCTTCATGTTTTCCATAATAAAAGTCATTAACTAACATGATCAATTTTCCTTTCTCTGAATCAAGAGCTTTAGTGTCATTTGTTGTATTTGAAATTTCTATTTTAGTCAATCCCAAAAAGTTATTTATCATGTCTGGACAACAATACTAGAAGAGAAAAAAAAAGATGCCTTATTAATTACAAAATTATAGCAAAAACAATTATGTTTTCAACTAAGGGTAAACCACATAAAACTATGCTTGATAAGATATCTGGAAGAAACTGTAAAATTCTGTGGTGAATATTCTAAAACGTTTAGAAAAGTAAACATCTTTTTTTTTTTTTAGAGTAGACTATTTGTTTAGTGTGTGCATTATGTATGGACGTGTGAGTGCCACAGTGCACTTGTGGAGGTCAGAGGACAACCTGCGGACGTCTGTTCTTTCCTTCCACCATGTGGGTTCCAGGGATCAAACTCAAGTCGTCAGGTTTGGCGGCAAGCACCTTTAACAGCTGAGCCATCTCGCCAGCCCATAAACATTATCTTAACAAAACAAAAATTTAAAAAGAGATGAAAAAAAACCTTAACACTAAGACTTGGCTATAGCTTTTAAACTTTTCCCATGCAATATGCCTGCTTAGATACATGTTTAATAGTCATTTGTTTCTTAACCAAAATTCATTCATTTCATAACCATGTCAGTAATACAGGAGGAAGGTTGTGGTACATGCTTTGATGTACCCGGTTATATGAAATCTTCCTCCTGGACAGGAGTGGTGTATCCCAGCACTCAGGAGGCAGAGGCAAACCTAGTGAGTGCCAGAAGAGCCAAGACAGCCAAGGATACACAGAAAAACCTATCTCAAAAAAAAAAAAAAAAAAAAACCTAGGCTGCAACTTCCTAAATTAGCTAAAACTAGACTTTTACAGAGCTCAAATGCCATTCCCTAATTTCATGGGTACTAGAAATGGTTTGGGACACAAAAACAAATGCATCTGGTACATCTTGGAATCCAGAATGCTCAAATATTTGAAGATGAAATTTAGTTCTCAGTAATAAAATCAAGTTATCACATAAATAGTTATAATATGAAATTTTCCATATATGCACATTTTAAAAATATGTAAGTGCCGGGTGGTGGTGGAGCACGCCTTTAATCCCAGCACTCGGGAGGCAGAGGCAGGCGGATCTCTGTGAGTTCAAGACCAGCATGGTCTATAAGAGCTAGTTCCAGGACAGGCTCCAAAACCACAGAGAAACACTGTCTTGAAAAACCAAAATAAATAAATAGAAATAAGTAAGTTACTTATTGTATATAATTTTCAGTTGTAGGGCTTTTTAGTATTTTTTTCTTCAAGGGCAAACCTAGAAAAATCTGCATCAGAAAATTCAGAGGTGCTCATTAAAATGGTAATTCCTGCCTGATGGGGGCACATGCCTTTAATCTCTACACTTGAGAGGCCTTTACTCTACTCTTGGAAGGCAGAGGCAAGCGTTCAAGGCCAGCCTGGTCTAGAGTTCCAGGACAGGCAGGAACCCTGCCTCAAAAATCCAATTAATAAATAAATAGAAATGGTAATTCCTGGGACCACAATGTCTACAGGTAGAAGCCGAAGAAGTTGTTTCTGCTTTTTGTTTTTTTAAGAAACACAGGTAATTGTTTTATAACAAAAAGCTTCTTAAGTGTGCTATTAAACCAGCATCTGAAAATCTTAATTATTCTGTCCTATGGTTACAACATCCACTTCCTCTTTTGTCACATGTAAGTCTTTCCATCATTATCATTCATCAAACATTCAGTCTAACATGAGGAGCCAGGCCTGTGATAGACAGATGTACAGCATCTTCGACAAGGTTACATTATTCCTGCTTCATTTCATGGTCAACATTTATACTCTGTGTATGTAAATGCAGGTGTGTACATGTGGGTGTGAGCATTTATACATTCACATGTATATGCAGGCCAGACAACAAGTTTGCTGCCATTCCTCAAGCATCAGCTATCTAGCTTGGCACCTCAACATGAACATCACCTAGATCTTTTTAAATGTGGGTTCTGGAGATTAGGTATTCCTGTAAGGAACAGATTGCTTGAACTATCTTCATATACTGTAACTTTTGAATTTCTATACCTACAAAGTAAAAACATCAAAAAAAGTAGGAAAAATACTAAATAAAACTGACTCAGAGAGGAACATAACTAATTTATATTCATGAGTTAAGGTTGTACTCATAAACAAAATTAAAATAAGTCCATTTTAGCTGAGCATAAAGGCTTACACCTTTAATCCCAGCACTCAGGGGGCAGAAGCAGGTGGACTTATGTGAGTTCAAGGCCAGCCTGGTCTATACAGAGAATTCCAGTTCAGACAGGGCTAAGTACATCAGTATATCCTAAAAGACTACCTTTTTTTTCCATTGATAAAATGGAAGCACAACCCCCTCCCCCATTTTCTTTTAATTTACAAAGTGAGGCAAAAAAGGGTTTGTTATGTTTCCGTATTTCTTTTTTGAGACAGAACTGGCTGGCAATTTACTAAATAAACCAGTCTGGCCTTGATTTCACAAAGATTTGCCTGCCTCTGCTTCTGAGTGCTGAGTCTAAAGTTCCAGTCTTATTTCTAAATTTTTCCTAAGGTACATGTTAAAATATATGAACTCAAAATTAGGAATATCAAGCTATTTCTAAAGACTTTTATAAGGATAATGCTACTTTTAATCCTAAGGAAAAGAAGCACGATATGGAGCAATCTGACTCTCCTATAGAAAATCACTCAAGAGCTGTGGCTGAGTCAATGGTAGAGAACTTGTCCAGCATGCACAAGGCTCTGGATTCAGTCTCAAAAAGACAAGTGTCAGGAGGCAGATTAAAAGAATGAACTTACTTAAAATTTATATATTATAAATATGTATCAATGGCATTATTTTGACAAACAAAGCACTATCTTATTTAAAACTCCTATGGGGAAAGAAAATCACAACTATCACAGGAAAATTGGATGCAGAGTTTTCTAATTACTAATGGGTTAATGTTATGCCCTACTGTGCTATATTCTTAAACAACGTAAGAACTTACCTCCGATATAACTACAACAGAGTATTAGCTGTTAACCTCTCCAACTCCATCTTTAACCTCCTTAGACTAAAAATATTTCTACTTCTGAGATAACTTTTTAGATCATGTAGTTTTTGTCTTTCTGTGTCAAAATATTGCCCCATGGTTTTAAATTTACCCTTCCTAGATTTGATGACTGTGTATCTGCCCATTATGAAATAAAGTATACAAGAATAAAATATACAAGAAAATACATAAATACACATTGCATGAATTATGTTACTTTCATAAAATGCTCTGGTGTTCTACTATTTGAATATTACATGGCATTTGGCAATTTCCAATAAAAGTAATCATAAATAATTCTAAAAGATATTAAAACACACACACATTTAGGACAGAGGTCATCAATCTTTCCAAGTGCAGGATTAGCTTTTTGTAAACTTGACACAAACTAGAGTCATCTGAAAAATGGAAACTTCAATTGAGAAAATGCCTCCATGACACTGGACTGTATAGGAGTCTGTGAGGCAATTTTTTTCTTAAGGACTGATGTGGGTGTGCCTAGCCTACTAGGGGCAGTGCCATACATGTGCAAGTAGTCCTGTGGTGGATAATAAGGTCAACTGAGCAAGTCAGGTGAGGCAAGCCATTAGGCAACATTCTTCCAAGGTCTCTGCTTCAGTTCCTGCCTCTAGGTTCCTGCGCTGACTTCCCTTCATGATAGTCTGAATGTAAGCTGACAGACAACCTTTCTTTTCTACATTACTTTTAATCATGATGTTTCCATCACAGCAACAGAAAGCCAATTAGGCCAAGAAGATTATACAGTATAATAAAATCTGTACATATAATAGGGGAAAATAAAAACATTTTATATTTACCTGTAAACACAAAAAGAAAACCAGAGTACATAAAGCAAACTAATATGAAGTTATTTTAAGGACTACCTTATGAATCAGGCAAATGTGAATTGGGGCCAGATTCCTCACTAGCATCCCTGTGTAGGCTTTTATGAATCATATGATTATAATACCTGGTCAAAAAATGAGTAAAGCAGAACTAATGTACTCCCTTTTGCCCCTCTATCTCTAACATCAAACATAAACTTTCATTAAGTCTCATCAAAACATTACAAAGAAAGTGGAAATTCCATTAACAGGATAATTTTCCTGTATGAGTGAAGCATGAAGGACAGTTCACAAGGCTACATTCTGGGAGCTGGAAGTAGGATAAATCAAATATAATTCTGAATAAAAGAGACTAGGTTTGGAATTTTTAAAGTTTTTTGTCTATTAATTGCTCATAAGCATGGGTTTCAATATGACATTTTCATATTTGTACATAATATATTTTGATCACATTCAACCCTCATTATCCTCTCGAGTCCTTCTTCCTACTTTGCCTGTTACCAATAAGTAGTAAGTCGTCCTCCTGTCTTCAGCTTTCTTTTTGCTTACTTTTCAAGCTCAGTAAGTTTGATTAGGATTACTTTCATGAGTAAAGGGTTATGTACAGTAGTATGGGCAATTTAACCAGTGGCTATACCATTGACCAATATGTCTCCCCTTTCCCCATGAACTGCCAGTGAGTTCCTCCTGGTTTTGTTTATTTTTGAAAATGATGAATAAAAAATTGTTAATAGGTACTTAATTCTTTTCCCTCATTCACTTCCTTTTGTACTCTATATTGCTGTTCTTCTTATCTTCTTTTGCCTTCCAGTCATTTATAGTAGGAACAAGAATACATAACATTTTTATAAAGGCACAAAAGAGCATAGTAAAAGCTAATATTTGAAGGAAGTCTTAACTAAAGTTTATACTTCATAAATACTTCCAAATTTCCTTAAAAATCTAAATCAAAAGCTTCCTATTAAACTTGAAACAAATCTGTAATAATTGTGCAAACTATATTCTGAACTTTATCAAAACAATATTTCAAGTGAAAAACATGAGCATTTGAAGTTTATATCTGAATACTGACAATATATGTGTATCTTAGATCTTCATCATCTAATGCAGAATACACACATTAGCATATATACATACACACAGTATAGAATTTTTAAATTAAAGTGTTTTACAAATCTGAATGACTTAATCAGTATATTGTGTTTAAAATCAGAATACAATAAGCAAATATTATAAATATATGAAATAAGGAATTTTACTATCTCTCTTTGTTTTTTGTTTGCTTGTTTGTTTGTTTGTTTTTTGAAACAGGGTTTCTCTGTGTAGCTCTGACTGTCCTGTAGATCAGGCCGGCCTTGAATTCAGAGATTCATCTGCCTCTGCCTCACAAATACTGGGATTAAAGGCATGTGCCACCACATGCCTTTCTTATAGAATCATTTTGAATATAAATTTTTACCTAAGCACTCACTATGAATATATCCAATATAAGATTTCATACCTAAATAAAGTGTTTTAACAAACCAAAATTTACTATAAATTGGTCATTAACATTTTTAGAGATTTTTCAAACTTTTTCAAATTAGAATCTAAAAAAATTTTACCGTCATGTGATTTTTCAGAGGATCCAAAAGATTGAAGTGAATATTACACTTAGGACATGCTCTTGGAAAAGTTGTTCCATTTTTAGATTGATTTGATGAGCAATTTGCACCTAAAATGAATTCAGATCAATTATGAAATAAAACGCATCACTTTTCAGGGCTTTTTTTCCGAATTATTTTTAATTATTTCTGGGTACACACACACGTGTACATGAATGTCACATTTGTGTTGATGGCTGTGGGGTGGCCAGAGGACAATGTTTGGCACCCTGAAGCTCCATGGAATTAGCTGATGGTTGTAAGCCACTCAATGTGGATGCTGGGGATCAAACCCAGGTTTTCTGCAAAAGTTGTAAGTGCTCATATCCAATAAGCCATCTCTCCAGGCCCCAAATTCAGCACTTTTTAACTTTAAATAACCACTATTAGTCTCTGAATTTGTAACAGTTGCAAAACTTACCTTTAAATATTACAGTAATTTTATTCTCATTTACCTTGTGATGGTGTCACCTGCAGAGACATCACTGATGGAGGCTTTTCTAAAGAGACTATAGAAGAGGCATCTGCTCCAGAAATATTGTCACTGGGTTTAGGCTTTTTTGGGTTAACACTGCTTATGTCAGAACCAGGACGTTTTGATGAAAATGAACTTTCATTCAAACCTAAAATGATTTAAACAGTAGAAAAAGATTTTAAAATATTATGAAATGCTGCTCATAACTAGTTAAGTTTATATGTGGGAACTAATATATATGATATAATGGAACTATACTATATCAATGATAAAAATTAAATGATATTTCTAGGCACAGTGGCACACACACCTTTAATTCCAATTCTTGGGAGGCAGAAGTAGGCAGAGGTCTGTGAATTTGAGGCCAGTCTGATCTACCTAACCAGTTCCAAGCCAATCAGGGCTACATAATAAGACCCTGTCCTTATTAACAAATTATATGATACAAACTTAGAGAGTCTAAGGAAAAAGCATAAAAACTTACTAAGAACTACATTTATTCAATCAATGTGTGAAACTGCCTTCCTATGCAAGTACATTCTCAATATGGCTTGAAAAAAATAATGACACTGAGGAAAGATATTCTGAAGTTCCTAAGAACCAACAATAATCTTCAGATGCTTAAATACATTTAAGTTTGTACTACACACACACACACACACACACAGAGAGAGGCGAGCATACCCAATAATTTGCTCCAAACATTCACAGATCCTATAACTTCTTTCATTTTTTTCCCAAGACAGAGTTTCTCTGTGCAACCTGGGATGCCCTGGAACTCACTTTGTAGAATAGGCTGGCCTCGAACTCAGGGATCTGCCTGTCTCTGCCTCCTGAGTGCTGGGATTAAAGGTGTGCACCACCATGCCCAGATAAAATTTTGTAACTACCTAAAATGCCTTATGTGATTAGTCCTTTCCCACCTAACAAAGTGATCTCTCATAGCTTATGACATTACACACTTATTGCTATATACAAAGTAGAAACTTCTACACCTGAATAATATTTTACTCATTCAATAGAAAGGGCATAAGAGAGGGAGCTGTGTCTCTTTTAAGGGACTATATTAAGGAGTGTCTGACCAAAAGTAAAAAAATAAACAAAAAACTCTTCTATTTGATTTATTAGACTTCTGCATGAATCTTTGTTTACATGGAGATTTCATTATTAAAAATAATTTCCCATTTAGCTAAAGCACCATAACGCTAAAGGATTAAACCTTAGAGTATCAGCAAGAGAAAGAGGGACAGTTAGACTCTAACTAGGCCAAACAAAGTCCTTTTTAAAAATAAAATATAATGTACATTGTAGCAAAGACTCTCAAACTGCACACTAAGTAGCCCCGTCTGTACACTAACTGTAGAAACAAACCCAGAATCTGTCAGTCTCTACTTATGCATTCTTATTTGACTTCTGAGTTTCAATTTCCGTTTTTGCTACCTTATTTTACAGTTACTTTAAGGTCAAACAATGTATTCAAAGAACCTTAAAATACTTGGTACATAAAGAAAAAGAACAATTACCATTACTAACAAGACACTTTATACCTTAACTTGCTTTAAAGGATAAAATTATTCCAAAAGATCTGCTATTAGTATTTTTAATGAGGACAAACTTGCCAAGAAAATAAGAATATTATACTAGTTCATTTCACTGTTTCATCTTTTTAAAAATTTTTTAAATTTTTTTAAAAAGAAAACAAACTAACTTTTTGCATTTTACACACCAATTTCACTTCCCACTCCCTCTCCTCCTCCCATCCCTTCCACTTTGTCCCCTACCCCACCCCACATCCACTCTTCAGAGAGGGTAAGGCACATTGCTTTGAGGAAGGACCAAGGCCCTCCCCATATATCTAGGCTGAACAAGGTATCCATCCAAAGAGAATGGGTTCAAAAAGCCAGGACAAGCAGTCTGCCCCAGTCACTGTTTCATCTTTTAGACAAAGTAATAATGGTTTCTCTCACAATCTTCAAAACACTTGATCTGAGACAAACTGCACATATATGAAAAAGATTTCTGATAGTGTAATCATACTAACATGTTTATGTTACTTGGAAAACATATAGGTGATAGCATTTTTAATTAATCAATTATAAAATAGATTATAATGTAAAAATAGACTTCTTCAATTTAAGAATTTAACATGAGAAATCTCAACATTAAATAAAACCACTGCATTCATTCCAATCTTTTTTACATTTATTTATTTATCTCTGTGAATGAGTGAGGGTATGCACAAGTCACTGCATTTGGGTGAAACTCAGAACAATTTGTGAGTCTGTTCTCTCCTTCCACCATGTAGATTCCAGGAATCAAAGTTGTCAAGACTTGGAAGTAAATGCTTTTACCAACTGAGCCATGGCACTTGGTCCTGCTTGTGTTTTATATTCTGACCCTTTATCTGTTTTGCTAGGCTTGTGCTATTCTCCATCCCCAAATAATTCTAGCTCTGCCAGTAAAAATCCCACTTTCTTTCACAGTCAAACTCAAACCTCATAATCTCCACGGACAGTAATCTGTCAAGTCAATCATGCTACTGAAAGATCAACACTGACTGGTACTGACATTTGTTATAAATGTACTTCACGTTTCACTTATCTTGTGTGGGCATTAAAAAAAGCCCTGTGTGAACTAGAGCAAGAATCAAAATGCTATCTTCAGGTGCCTTTGCTCCATGTGGAGAACTGAATGAAATTATAGAAGAAAAATGAATAGCCCCATCTCTTAATATGAAAAAAATCGAAACTATGAAGAGTCAGCTGATCTGATAAAAATTAAATCTTAAGAGCAGAGGTTCAAACCTAAAACTTCCTAGTTATCCCACTTAATGAAGTTTCACTCACTGTAGTAGAAAGCTGAGAGGGAGAATAGGAGTCTTTATTGGTTCTTTCTTCCCAGAAGTTTCAAGACTGTAGACTTTTTCTATGAGTAAAGTCTATGAGCTTCCTAATGCCAGATTTAATACAAATATTTTTTTCTCCGTTTCTTTTCGCTTGTACCTATTTTATTAACAAGATATTAGTAAACATTTTAGTAAACTATGTATGTGACATTCAGAGACGTGTTTATCAAATAAGGTATTTTTAAAATGGAAAAGCACCTTAAGCCCTATTATGAAAAAAAAAGTGCAGGAAAGTCTGTTAAACACCTCATTAATCTATTTATTAAACAATCTAACCATTCCAAAAAATTTTGTACATCTTAGTTAAAACACTTCAATAAATACAAATAGCTATTGCTTAAGAACTAACTTGCCTTGATGATGAGGAATTTTCACAAAGACAAAAATTTCTCCATGGTATGCTAATATATTTCAAATTAATGAAGAATGCTTATCATATGCACTAAAGGAACTTTAAATCATCAATAGATAAATTTATTACTCGTCTAAAGACCATTTTTTACTATGTCTAAGTCTTTGTCTTTCTGTTTTTGAGACACAGTTCCACTATGTAGCACAGGATAGCTGTGAAATCATTACATAGTCCAGCTTGACCTCAAACTGATAATAATCCTCTGCCACAGCCTCTCAAACGCTGAGATTATAGATGTACACCGCCACATTCAAAAACTAGTTCTTTAAATTACCTTTTAGTTACGAGAGGAGGGGAGGGAAAGGAGAGCATGGTAAATACAGCCATGCCACAGCACACATGTGGAGGTCAGAGGGCAATTTGCTACAAGTCAGTTCTCTCGTCCCACCATGTGAGTCCCAGGCATGGAAACTCAGGTCAATATGCTTGGAAGCAAGTGCCTTTGCCTGCTGAGTCATGTCACTAGTCCAAAATCTATTTCTTTATTATAGCTACTTTACAGCACCATAAAATCATACTTAACTATATAATGAAATCACTTACTGAACTAGAAAGACGCTAACCTAATTAAGAATTCAATTACAGCCAGGTGGTGGTGGCGCACGCCTTTAATTCCAGCACTCAGGAGGCAGAGGCAGGTGGATCTCTGTGAGTTTGAGACCAGCCTGGTCTACAGAGCTAGTTCCAGGACAGGCTCCAAAGCCACAGAGAAACCCTGTCTCGAAAAACCAAAAAAAAAAAAAAAAAAATTCAATTACAGCCATATACTTTTTTTTATACTAGGGGCAACATAAACTGAATTTTCTTAACAATGTTTATATTATCTGAAACATTCATTGATTTTTTAAAGAATTTTTAAGGTTGAATTCATAGGAAAAATGAGTACAATGTGACTTTGTGAAGATTTTATATAAAACCTCAAAAAGACACTTAAAAGCTATTTATAGCAGTCTATATAATAAATACTTTCACATAAAGATATGGGTTCCAAAACAAAGGTGATTCCATATGATTATCCATCAAGTTTAACTATTTTAAGGAAAAAAAATAGTGACACCAACCTGCAATAGAAACTGACGGTCCCGCTTGGTAATGTGATAATCCTGTATCCTGGGTCAGATCAAACACTAACTCTGAAGAGTTGTTAGACACAACTCGTGGAGAGTTTGTTATATAACCCTGTTAAATTCCAAGAAAGAATATTACGTGTACTGGATATAATTATAATTATTGTTTTAAACACATGTATAAAAGCAATTTAATGGAATATTTACATCATTAAAATAAAAACCTTTGATGGTTCAACAAGTTAAAAAAGCACAAAAGTAGTTACTAGTGGGCAAAATTGTCAACTATCAAAATTGAAAGCAATAACGCTCATTTATTCCTGTCTGCCCAGCTAAAAATTGATTACCTAACCTGAGTAGCAAACTCTAATCCAGTGTTTTTAAAGTAAAAGAAATGCAAGCTCACTTTATATCTGTAAGACCAATACATGCTGAGAGGTTCTAAAATTGCAATATTATCAAGAAGTAAATAGCAGAATTCAGTAAAAAAAAACCTGCATAAATAATAAACAAACAAGAAAAAAGAAAATATAGCAAACAAGAATGTGGAGGGTTTCTGTTTGTTTGTTTGTTTTGTTTTTTAAGGCAGGGTTACTCAGTGTAGTTCTGGGTGTCCTGGAACTCATTCTCTAGACCAGACTGGCTTCGAATTCACAAAGATCCACCTGCCTCTGCCTCTCTCTATAAACTCAAAGCCAGCCAGGTTTATAAAGTGAGTTCTAAGAAATCTATGACTACACAGAGAAACCCTGTCTCAAAAAACTAAATAAGTAAATTTATAAATGAAATAATTCATATTAATTAGTCATGAATCATATTGATTTTATTGATGATATTAACAGCAATATATCCCAATCTTGCCTGAAAAAAGTGCTAAGTCACAAAGCTATTCTATGAAAAATTAAACAAATAAAACATGATATTAAATATAAACTATAATTATAATTTAATAAATTAAAATTAAATCAATAAAAATAATTAAAACCAGTAGTTTCCGATATTCATGGTGAAAGCCCCTAAAATAAGACCATTCATTCCAGAACACAAGTCTGTGATTTTAGTTTTGACCACAAAGATAGCTGAGATTTAAATGTATGATTTCTAGGCTCCCATACAAACAGACAAACTGGCTTTTTTCCAGTAAGATTCCAGGACTACAAACCATCAATTGAGGTGGTTTATGTCCAAAGAAATAAAATATTCTTAACTGAAAAGATTCTAGTTTCTAACTTTTATAAAAGTTAAGATACCATCCCTCTGCTTTCTTCTTGAGACTGTTAGATTTATTTATCTAACTATATTAGTCAACTTTTTTCTCCAGTTTTCTACTCTAGATGCCAAACAACTAATAACAAGTAGAAGAAAACAAGTTAACTGTAACATTTCCTGTATTTAAGAACATGAATAATAATAGCCTTTGGAACCTTACAGGATCCAAGATAGAAAGTGAGTAGTCTCTTAACTGTTTTTTGTCTAAAGAAATATTTTAAGGATATTTACTATTCACTAAGGCAATACTCACTTAACTTTCCAACATCAAAATGATCTTACAAATTTATTTTTGCTATGTGATTAGATTTAAGGTCCACACCTTTAGATGGAACCCATGCCTGACACTTGCTCAGGGAGTCAGGAACCAGTTACCTTGTTCTGTTATGTTTTTTGGTCTTTTTTGCTATTTTGTCTTTTTTTTTCCCCTCGGAGCTGAGGACGGAACCCAGGGCCTTAGCAAGAACTCTACACAACTGAATTAAATCCCCAATGATCTCACACATTTAAAAATAACTAAACCCCAAAACACTTTTTACATTTACAAACTAGAAATTAAAGCAGAAATATTAAATATTAGTTTATTTTTTAATTACATTAAATCCATTATGGAGCAGCATGAGGATTTTATAAAAAATTATTTGCAGATACATAAAAGTAGTATTAGTTTTTACTTTTGTAATTTTTATTTTCATTTTGAGAGCCAGAGCCGCCGGTATCCCAGGTTTGCCTTGTAAAGTGATGATACTGATAGTGAAGATTTTTGTACTAAACTGAGGAGTGAATAACTGAATTCTAAAGTGGACTCCGTGATACCATCTCCTGTATGAATTCCCTTCCTTTTAATGTGGCTTGGACAGCTGGCTTGATTCTTAACAAAATAACATGGTAAAGATGACAAGGTATATAACATCATTTTATAAACAGAATTATTTCTTAAGACTAATAAGTCATGTCGGGCAGTAGTCCCAGCACCTGGGAGGCAGAGGCAGGCAGATCTCTGTGAGTTGAGGCCAGCATGAACTAGACTGAGTTTCAGAACAGCCAGGGTTACACAGAGAAAAGCTGACTAAAAACAAAACAAAAACCACCATCACCTCCACCAACAAAGAACTCTCCCTTTCTTCAAGGAGGCAAGCAGTCATTGTGGGAAGACCTATATGGCAAGGAATTAGCCAAAACCCAGGATACTGAGACTCAGTTAGGAAACCAATGCTACCAATAAGCATCTGAAACTTGGGAGATACTTCCCAAGCAATGCTCCTGATGAGACTGCTTTGAGAACCACATCCTGAATGGGAGTCCTATTAAAAACTAAAGCAGAGGATCCAGCTAAGCTACGATCTGCCTCCTACCAACAGAAACTATAAGGCTATAAGATAATTAATGTATGTTGTTTGTGTTTAAGTCACATAGCTTATGGCAATAATGATATGAAGAAATAATGTACTACAGCTTGTCAGCCATAATTTCAAGTAAAATGCAGAGGGTATTTCAGCTTACTAATCATGCTAATGCTTTTCCTAAAGACAATCATGAAGACACTTCAGACACAGAAATGTTGTATGTATACTACCCACTTTGCCATATATAACGTTTAAAAGATACATATTTAAGAGTATAGTTAACAAAATAACATTAATGGAAGTTTATGTTTAATGTATTGAAAAATTTCATTGTGAGACCACCTGTAAATGAAGTACTTCATTGAGAGTGCATGGTAGGTGGCTAACCTGCAAACACTGTGCAGATGAGTCCTGGTTTTGACTCACACTAAGCCATCAGTGGCTTGGTCAATGTTGTTTATTTCATCAACACTAATGTCAAATAGTGAAAAAGAACAAAGGTGTTGAATCCCAAACACTTGAAAGTGTCCTGAGAAACTCTCCAGAATTGCACACCATCCTTAGAACTGCTAAATTGAGGCAGTACTTCCATTTTGCAAACAATACACTCATATACAACATACACACATGCATATATGTGTGTATATGTGTATATATGTATATGTATGTGTGTATGCATATATATATATAATGAATTAGCCTATCCTGAGATCTGAGATCCACCCAGCTACGGGTCCTCAGTGAATCATTCAATCACTGTAAACCTCAGTATTTATTCAACTATAAAAATGGGGTAACAATGCCTACTTTCTAGGTATATTTAAGAATTAAATGAGATTAATTTATGCACAGCACTTAGTACAAATATTTATATCCATTATTAGCTTAGTAAATTTTAATTATCACTATCTATTACTTTTTACTAAAAATTTTTAATTGAAGTATGAAGGTACATTTCTCAGAATAAAATGCTATCAAGGCTTCTCACTAGTTTCAAAATTAAAAATACCTGGCCGAGTTTGCAAGCATAAATGTTTTTCTATCACGTGATATTCATTATAATCCTTTTATTTACACTTTGACAGTCTTGGTTTTCAAAGCTATACCTAGTCAGTTTAAGCATATTCCCCATCTTACTAAGTTCATAAAGATGGTGACCTTGAGATACCCATTATGCTAACTAATCGGTGCTACTTGTTGATAATTGATAATTTTACTTGAGTATTGTTAATATTTCCTGAGCTGGCTAAGGAGTTTCAAAAACACTTACAGGTTTAGAAAATGGTTGAACAATAACAGAGCTATCTGCAGATCTAGATTCAGGATGAAAATTTACTGGCAAGGCAGCCACAGGATTTGATGCTGGATTTGAGAAGCGTTGACTTGTAGGCTTGAATGAAGTAGTAAAACCTGTATTTTAAGATTACACAACACATTGAATGCATTTCTATATAATGAACTTTTCAAAATATTTAAGCTTAAAATTAAAGCAATAAAATAATATTGTACCTCGGTTAAGTGCACCATTCTTTATTCCTCGTGAATGTGAGCTGGGGTTAACTCTGTTCAAAATATCTAAAAAAATATAGAGATATTTTAAACTTGTTTGAATAAAATATATACTGAGATATTAAAAATTATGAACTGAAAGTAGATATTAGGAATATCACTAATTTAAAAAGTTTCAGTATTAACTGTTTTATAGAATAAGCACAATCTTTCTTATTATAACTAAATGTTCAAAGGCCAGAATTATATTAATAAACCCAAATGCATATAAGCCAAACATTCTGCAAAGAAAAGGCAAAAAAAGTTTTGTCTCTATAAAACCTTCCAAAAGTCAGACATGGTGGTGCATGCCTTTAATCACAAAACTCAGAAGACAGAGCAGGCAGATTTTGTGAATTTGAGGTCAGCCTGATCTAGAGTTCTAGGAAAGCCAGGGATGTTACACAGGAAAAAAAAAAAAAAAACCTGTCTCAAAAAGACAATAACCAAAAAGAAACAAAACAAAACAAAAACCTTCTGAAAACACATTTAAATGTGGGTGCATGTGCTTTCCTTGGGGAGGTGACAAAACTGTACCTATATTTGGATTCCTACGACTTAAAATTAAACCCTGATCTAGCCTCCATATTCTATTCACAATTCTAAAAGCCCTGAAGTTGTATAAAGGAGAATCTCCATGGACTATTTATAGTTATCTCTGAGTTTCAAAAGGGAAAACTAGTAAAAGCTATAGTTTACTAGTAGTCAATAATAATATAGTATAAATACTGGAATCTAAAGTTACCTGAATATCTTCTAAGTTAAGAGGATTCGGATCCAATATCACATCAGAAGTTAAGATTGGTATGACTTTGAGGGAATAATTTAAAGTTCTTACTCTTACATACATATGAATGTGTAAAGTTTTGTTTTTCTTTTGCGAGACGTTTCTCTGTGTATCCCTGGCTGTCCTGGATCTCTGTCTCTGTAGACCAGGCTGGCCTGGAACTTACAGAGATCCACCTGCCCCAGCCTCCGGAGTGCTGGGAATAAAAGCGTGTACTACCTCTGCCTGGCTCATTTCAATTTTTCACAGTTCAGAAAAAAAAAAGTATACATTATTATAGTTGAGTACCGTTAATTGTCATCTATAATCAGTATAAATTCAATCCTGTCATATTTTCATCGAGAGAATTTGAATAATAGTGTTGCATATAATAACATTCAAGTGTAAGATAATCAATACCTAAGAAACAATAAATGAGAAAACAGACCATTCTGATATTAGCCAAATGTACACTAAACTCATCTTATAATCCAAATAGCATCCCACTTAGCATTGCATGAGAAATTACCTATCTATCACAGGAAATGATACTGACATTTCAGTTGGTTAAATTATTCTCTCCATAAAAACTGTATAAAAGTGCCATTCTAATACTACAGACAAGAAAAACAAGAAGGAGGCTTTCAGAAAATTCCATAGTACTCTCTGTTAACCAAGGTAAATAAGAAATACTAATATGTTTAAATAAAAAAAAATAAAAATAAAAAAAAGAAAAAAAATACTAATATGCTGGACACGTTAACATGCATTGATAAATTTTTCTGGCTTAAAACAAACATATAATTAAAATGAGAAAGACTCTTTTAATCTTTGAAATTTGTACAGTTTGTGATTTTTTTTCCATCAAGACCAGGTCTCACCATCTAGCCCTGGCTGGCCTGGAACCCAGAAATTCACCTGCCTCTGTCTCCCCAGTGTCTCCCTAGTACTGTGAATAATGGTGTGTGCTATGATACCCGGTTCCAGTTTAGACATCTTTGAACAGACAGCTTAACAACTATCAGTTTTCTTATCTTAACACTTTGACAATGTTAAGTTCAAGCACTCTAACTGAAAGTTAACAATCCAAAGGCTGTTCTACTAAAAAGCCTGAGATGTGAATGTACTAACTGTGACATGGTAAAAATGCAATGGCTAGAGACAACACCCTCCATATCACATATGTAACTAGCTGCTGAAAGACAGCTGTGGTCAGAAGCTATGACACTGTCACACATTCTCTCTACATTTTGTAACCAGGTGGAGATGACACTACAGTAGGGTCTCATCTCAGACTAACACAAAATGTATTTAGTACATCTCAAAAGTTAAAACTAAGAATTCTAAATTTTTCCTTTAAGCTATTCTGGGTTTAAGAAAGAAAAAAAATCAGATAAACTGGGTTTTCAGTACCACTAAAATTTTAATTTAATTCCTGCTCTCAGAAGATCTCCAATGCCACCAGCAAATCACTTGCATTTCCCAGTCTGCTCTGCTGATATTTGGTGTCTACCCCTTCTTAAAGCTCCAGCCAGTCAACCCTGATCAGTCTCCCCAGGTAGTATCTCATTCCTAACTTCTTATGGTGGAATAGGGATATTTTCATAACAACCCTAAGAAATAACCTTATCCTACTGCTTTTCTACGTTAAGTAAGTAGTAAATGCTTACTTGAAATTGCTGGTTTTGAACTTGCTATCTCTGCAACAAAGATGGGCTCATCATCATCATCATCATCCTCTTCAACTTCTTTCACTTTCTTCTGCCATGGTTCTAGTTCCTCTTCTTCACATTCCATAAAGAGTTCTGCCATTTTTAAATTATCTAATTTTTAAAAGAAGCAACATTCTTTTAATTAAAAAGATTATTTGCTATATATATTTTGAATCTACTTTAATAATCCTAGTAACAATTTCTGAAGTGATGTTTATGGTGAGTACATGAGAACAGTAAGAAACTAAGATCTTACTTTCTAAGCTATAATAAACCAATAGACTTCAGACAAGCAAAGGTAATTTACGGTACCTAGAAAATCCAGTCAAAATGAGTTTCAGTCAGACATCTAGAATGATTATCTCCACAAAAAGGATTATATCCTATCCACTGTCAAAAAAAAAAAAAAGACGTAACTAATAGGGAGGTGGACTATAGCAAGAGCCATAGATGGGAAACAAATTAGAATGAACCAGATTTAGAAATGCAAGGCAAAAGAGCAGAAATGAGGGGAAGTAGTACTAGAGAGAAGTATTGGAAAGGACTGAGGCTTATCTCAAGTAGAACGAATTACACATTATTACACATTTCTCTCTAAAGAAATTGAATTAAAGCAATGCATATAGTAAAAACTACTTAGAAATTCTGACCAAGTAACACTTCTCTTTTAAGCATGAATGGATAAGCACCAGGAATGTTAGGAAGGAACGTGTCCTATCTAAAGATCAAAAGACAGAGAAAAAAATTAAAAGGATTCTAGGAAAAAGATGACACAAAGCAAGAAAAGTAGAAAAGAAACTGGTATATTTAGAGGCATCAAACAAAAAAAAAATAGTGTTTGAATAAGAATGAAGCTAACAGGGCTTAGTGGGTGGGTAAAGGTACTCGCTGCCAAGTCTGATGATCTGAATTACATCCCCAGTCCTTAAGTGGTGGAAGGAAACCAACTCCCACAAACTGTCCTCCGATTTCCCATACATTTTTGTACATATGCACACTCATGGACATGCGTGCACACACACGCACACACACACACACAGCCTAATAAACAAAAGGTGAGACATAGGGAGCAAAGGACATGGCATTCAATATAAAATAAAGTCCCAGAAAAGAGTAAGTCAGTAGGTCTAGAGAACAAGCAGATGTTCTTTCTAGTTGATGGATGAAGGATAGCAACACTTCAAAAGGATTAAGTTAACTTTAAGAGCACTCCACAGGCCAAGAGATAGTGGAGCACACCTTTAAAGGTGATCTCAGAGTTCAAGGCCAGCCTGGTCTAGAAAGCAAGTTTCACAACAGGCAGGTCTACACATAGAAACCCTGTCTCTCAAAAAATAAAACAAAACAAAATATAAAAAGTAAAATGGGCTGAAGAAGTTGCTCAGCAGTTAGGAGCATATACTGTTCTTGCATATGACCCAACAGATCTGGCACCCTCCCCTGGAATTTGTGAGCACCTCATTCATACATGAACATAACCACCCTCCCATACACACACTACACTTAATTAAAAATAATAAAATAAGAACATATATAAAAAGAAAGCTAAAACAGGGCTGGAGAGATGGCTCAACAGTTAAGAGCACTTGCTGCTCTATCAGAGGACCCCAACCTCTATTCTGGATATCCATACTGGGTGGCTCACTGTCTCCTGTAACTCCAGCTCCAGAAAATGTCAATGCCCTCTTTTGGTCTCTGCAAGCACCACATACACAAGATAAAAACTCAGACACACACATACACATAAATTAAAAATTGTGACGAACATATTTTTTAAAAGAAAGCAAAAATACCCATCTTTAATTATATAACATTCTTAGTAAAATTGATGAAATATTATACACACACACACACAAAACTTCAAAAAACTTTGGCAGAGCCAATTAAAACCTTACAGTCTGATTCTTTAAACTACATGCATATATTGGTTCAGACTGTAATGCAGAAAGAAGAAATACAAGAACAGAGGGACGCAAGGTGGGGAAAGAAAACAGTGTTAAGGGCCTCAACTAATATAACAGGTGCATGTATATGAATTGGAGCTTGTCCAGACATGAAGATAATAAGACTACCAAAGAAATAATCTGAGGTTCTAGTTTAGATAATATCTTTAATTTATCATTTCTAAGTATTTTTTCTATTATACCAAAGAGTGCCATTTCTGCTTTTAAGCCAAAATTAATACATTTTACCATGTTCTTAATATGTTCATAATTAATCAGATTTAACGTGGGCTAGAGCATTTCTTTCAGCATTCACAAAAGACATCAAGCCTAGCAATACTTTGGTCCTGACTTTCTACCCTCAAAAACTATCCAAAAACAAATTTCTACCAAATTAAACCAGCTAGTCTGTAACAGTTTGTTATGGCAACCCTTGTAAACTAATATAGTTTATAGCACACGCACGCATATATATGTTTATGCCTGGGCGTGTGTATTTAACAAGGCTAAGCAATTGTTAATATATCAAAGACTATTAAGAAAAAAGCTATAATTCTTTTATATAATTTTTATAAATGTTTGTACAAGCATAGAAGAAAAATATGTAATAATGTATACCAAAGTGATAAATAGTAGCCATTTCTATTAGTAGAGATAAAATACTTCATTTCTACTTGACTTGTTAGTTATCTGTTACCTCAGCAATACCAAAGTTTAAGGCATACCCCACCTCTCACCCGTCACCACACAGTGTATAAGAGTGCCCACCTCACCCTTCACCACACAGTGCACTTACGCACCTGTTGCTTATGAGTATCAATCATTGAAGAAGCACCCACCTTTCTGTTGAGAGGAACTGTCACCCATCAAGTTGCAGATCTGACGTTCTATAAGTTGTCACCTAAGTATTGACATATGACATCAGTCAATTTTGAGTAATTTTAACTGCAAATATTGATATGTCAAGCTTGCAATCAAGAAATTCTCAGCCAGGGGCTAGAGAGATGGCTCAGGTTAAAAGTACTGTCTGCTCTTCCAAAGGTACAACATTCAATTCCCAGCAACCACATGGTGGCTCACAACCGTCTGTAATGAGATCTGGTGCCCTCTTCTGGCATGTAGGCAAACACTGTATACATAATAAATAAATCTTAGGAAGGAAGGAAGGAAGGAAGAAAGGAAGGAAGGAAGGAAGGAAGGAAGGAAGGCTCAGCCAGGCAATAGTGGTGCACACCTTTAATTCCAGCAATAGGGAGGGCAAGGACAGACAAATCTCTAAGTTCCAGACCAGCCTAGTCTACAGAGTGAATCCAAAGCCACCCCCACATCGCCAAAAAAAAGTAGAAGTAGAAGAAGAGGAGGAGGAGGAAGAGAAGGAGGAGAGACAAATTCTTGATGAAGAAGTTGGGGAAATGGAACAATAGCTAAGAACATTTGTTGTGCAAACAGGAAGACCTCAGTCTGAATCCCCAACACCTACATAAGCCAGGCATAGAAACATGTGCCAGGTGCCTGTACCTTCAGTGCTGGGGGACAAAGGCAGGTATATCCCAGTAGCTTGCTACCCAGACAGTCTAGCCCAAACAGAAAGCTTCAGGGCCAGTAAGGTACTGTATAAAGGGAGTAAGGCAGAGAGTAATCGAACAGGGACCCCATGTCATTCTTTGACCTTTGCCCAAACACACAGAGCATGCACCTCCATAAACAAATACATAAGAAAGAAGAAACTGTTGGATCTAATTGAAATATTTAAACTTACCATGTGACCACAAAAGGCAGCAAGTTATCACAATTTGCCTTTCTAGAAAATAAAGATATCTACCATTAGGGCATATTACATAAAAGTATATACCATTTACCCTTTATATAAAAATCTGTTAGAGTTGGATGTTTGTTATGCACATAATTTATTTAAAATAACTGGTTCATTTCTGAATAATTCCAAATTTCAGAAAATTATATCAAGTACTTCCAATTTCAATAAATCGGATAAGTTAGTAAATTAAAGCTAAGTTATTTGTGACAAGCATGTGAAACATATCTGTAATCGTCTGAGGCAACGTTTGATGCCTGGACTACACAGTGAGACACTGTCTCAAACAAACTCACAACAAAATATATGCATAAAAAGGAATAATTTCCTCATAATCAGTTTTAGTAAATGTTACTTCCCAAATGCTAACTGATGCTAACCTGTTCCTATTCACAGTCAAAAATATATTTCAAGAACAAGACATAATTTTAAATATATTTTAGTGTTGAGGAATATTTGTGCACTGTGTGAAGATATGTTGCTCTGACTGGTTTAATAAAGAGATGAACAGCAACAGCCTGGAAGCCAGAGACAGGAATGCTGGGAAGAGAAGAGACACCAGCGAGACATGGAGGAAGTCGGACATACAGAATGGAAGAAAGGTTAAAAGTCACGGAGCATAATGTAGATTGATAGAATCAGGTTAATTTAAGTTACAAGAGCTAGTTGGAAAGAAGCTAAGCTAAAGGTCAAACTTTCATATAATTAAGTCTCCGTGTCATTATTTGGGGGTCAGCAGTCTAAAGAGAGTCCGACAAGAAAGATCTGCTACATGTGGTACCCTACTTTGGGCACCAAATGATGTTTTTCATTGGCTTAGAGAGGCTGTGCATGAACTTACTGATACTTTAGCATCTGTGGGCCCATGGCCACTCAGGCTGTGCCCTGGAAGGCCTTCCAGTCTTTTTTTTTCCCGAGACAGGGTTTCTCTGTAGTTTTTGGAGCCTGTCCTGGAACTAGCTCTTGTAGACCAGGCTGGCCTCGAACTCACAGAGATCCACCTGCCTCTGCCTCCTGAGTGCTGGGATTAAAGGCGTGCGCCACCACCGCCAGGCTAGGTCTTCCAGTCTTGCAGCCCTGGAAGTTTCTATCATTTTATTTACCAATAAAGACTTCAGAGTCAGATGTCGGGGTGAAAACTTGCTAAATCAGAGAAGCTGAGAAGCAACCAGCTAAGCATGCTCTTGGGCCGGAAAAATAGCAAGAGACACGTCTCTTCACTCATTCCCAACAACTAAAGGAGCATTGGACAGTGGTGGTACAAACCTTTAATTCCAGCACTCGACACAGGAAAGTATCTCTGTGAGTTCGAGGCCAGCATGGTCTACAGAGTGAGTTCCAGGAAACCTGGGCTGTTTTACAGAGAAACTCTGTCTCAAAAAAATAATAACAACAACAACAACAAATGACAATTATACTATCTGCTGTGGAATATTATTTTAACTAGGCAAAAATATATTACATTCATTTATGCTGTATTTGAAAAAAATAATAACGAATCACAATTATACATTCTGTTGTGGAGTATTACTTTAACTAGGCAAAAATATATTACATTCGTTTATGCTGCATTTGTTTAACAATGTAAAAATGTGTTGCTTTGCCTGCCAAAGGCACCTGACTGGCCCAATATAAAGCTTGAATGGCTAATAGCAAGGCAGTAGAGGGCTAGGCAGGGCTGGCAGGCAGAGAGAAGTAAGAGGAATCTAAAACGAGGAGAACAAGAGAATGAAAAGAGAAATTCTCAGACCCAGTCAAGCAGCCACTAGCCAGTCAGACATGGAATAGGACATACATAATGAAAGAAAGGTGGAAAGTCTTGATGCAAAATATAAACAAAGAGAAACAGGTTAAGTTATAAGAGCTAGTGAAACAAGCCTAACCTAAGGCTAAGCATTCATGACTAATAATAAGTCTCGTGTCATGAGTTGGGGGCTGGTTGGGAGCCCAAAAGAAAGTATGCTACAACTATAAGACTCATATAATTCAATTAAGTGGTTATATGAATTCCATGAAATATGCTTCACAATTTAGGAGTGAAGGCATTTATTTCAATGAATAAGTCACCTGAAAGAGAAAGAGAATATCCAGCAGAGGCATCAGCTTGGATTTTACAGCTCCAAAAGTTTTCTTGCCTCTTCAAGTTGCTTCTAAAATAACCAGCAAAAGATTACTCTACTTCAGCTACAGAGTCAGGCACAGATTTCATGCTCATGTTGAAAAAATGAATTCCAAGTAACTGATTTAGTGAGGATCCTTCAGAGGCATAATGGTTTGGTGCAGAAAGGGGCTTGGAGCAAACCTATAATCTTCAACTCAATCCCTGGAATCCACATGGCCAAAGAAAAGAACTGACTCATGCAAGTTGTCCTCCTACTTCCACAATATGTGTGTACAGGCAGGCAGGAATGCGCAAACACACACACACACACACACACAAAAGGGAGGGAGGAAGGGAGGGAGAGAGGGAGGGAGGGAGGGAGGGAGGGAAAGGAAAGAAGAAAAAGAAGGGTAAAAAAAGTTAAGACTTCAAAATACAACCTAACCTTTTGTAGATAAAAATAATTATAATGTCTATTTTATTAATTTTTCAGCTTTTACATAAATAAAATTAAACTATGCCTTAAAAGTTTTTGTTAGAAGTCAATGGAAAATTTAAATAGACATAATTTCTTATTAATGTTTGGCAATTTATGAACTTCTGGACTAGAGATACAGCTCAGGGGTAGAATGGTGGCCTAACACGCAGAGGGGAGTAAATTCAATCAAACCAAAAAAAACTAAATCTCTTAACTATGAAAAATTACCAAACACTGAGTTATGAAAAATGTGTTTTACTGTGGCTGAGAGTAAAGCGGGAAGAGTGCTTGCTTAGCATATTTCATACCTTGTGTTGGATCTCCTACATCCTCCTTCCTTCTCAGCTTTTAATAGTAAGGTAAACTCTGAAATCAGTACACTTAGATACAGTTTTGTACTATCAAGGTGCCTCAGAAAGCAGAGTGCTTGCTATGTAATACTGGCAGCATGAGTTAAAACCCTAGAGGCCAAATAAAGGTAGAAAGAGAGAACTGACTCTGCAAGCATATACATGTCATGGCATGCAAGCACACATGGTACACACACAAACAACAAATAAAAATGAATGTCACAGTTATAATTTTTAAACAAACCAAAAACACCAAATGTAATTTTAAAACAGTATACATTTGGAGATCTTAGCAGCAATAAGCAAACAGAAAAGAGGAAAAGTTGGGACTCAGTCCTGACAAAATTATAATTATAATCCACTTGCCTCTGTCAAGTGCTAGGATTAAAAGGCATGCGCCACCACCGCCTGGCCATGATTGTAATATACCATTACTTGGGAGGTTAAGGAAGAGGGATTTTAAATTCAGTGCCAAGCCTGAGCTACAGAGGAAGGCCTTGTCTCAATCATTATCATCTTTGAGTAAACCATACAATTTCATTCTTTTGTTTGTTTGGTTTTTGTTTTTTTAAGATAGGTTTCTCAGTATAACCTTGGCTGTAATGGAACTTATTATGTAGACCAGGCTGGCCTAAAACTCAGAGATCTGTCTGCCTGCCTCTGCCTCGCAAGTGCTTGGACTATAGGTGTGTGCCACCACCACCCAGCTACAAATCATTCTTAATGTCAAGTTTTAATACAACTGCTTACTTCCATTCATTATATTTTTACTACAAATTATGTAATTTGTAGTCATAAAATAATTATAATCATTATACAATTATAGTTGCCCTAATTAAAAAATTATTTCATCTAATGCTCAAACCATATCATTGTGAAAAGTGAATTATAGAGGCAGTTAAGTACTTTCTCTATAGAAATACAACTAAGTGATGATGGGAGGAGATTCAAAGGTTGGGGAGATTGTTCGGCAGTTAAGGTACTTGTCTTGCAATCGAGACTTGAATTCCAGTCCCCAGAACCCACACCAGTAGTTCCTGAGTAAACTGACGAATGGAGTACTAGACTAGCTTATCAGTGAGCTCTTGGTTTGGTTGGGAGATTCTTCCTCAGAAAATAAAGTAGATGAGCAATCTAGAAGATTCCCAACATCAACCTTAGGCCTACACACATGAGTGCACATAGAACTGCCCCCCCACACACACACAACACACACAAAATTCAAGCACATTCATTTCAAAGGCCAGAGACTTCAGAAACAGCACTATTTCAATATTCATGAGAAATAAAAGACAAAAATTACAGGGAGGAGGCAGATTTCATTGTAACATAGCAATTAAAAGGTTTCAAAAGATGAATTCTAAAGAACACATATCACCAAATGAAAAAATATGGAAAATTTCAACCATTATAAAATTGACAGTGTCCACTTTCAAGATAAGATCCCCTCATGGTCCATGCCAATTCTAATCTAGTACAGGAATATAATTTTTTGCCTAAACTGACAAATGAGGAAGGATCTTTCATTTGATCACTTTTAAAATGCCATGCGTAGGACTTAAACATTTGGTTATCAAGCTATTACTTTCAGTTTTTTTCTAGAAGCTTCTAGGTAAAACATAATGAATGAAGAAGTAGAATTGAAATCCAACACTATACCTAAATCTATTCAAAACAAGCAAATTCCTGGTGAAGAGGAAAAAAGATAATTCATAATTCAAGTAAGCAATACATATTTCATTTTAGCAAAGCTGTGATAGTTTAAAATACAACTCTCAAAAGACACAGATATAGAACACAGAATTTCTCCATCAGGCATATGGCTAGAGTTAATGGCTTTATTAAATACTGTTCAGAGTATTAGCTTCCTAGGTCTTGTTTCAAGTTCCACTCAGGAGTTAGAAGTAGGGGTTTTGAGTAGAACTGTTAGCTGTTAAGCCCTTAGAATGACACCATCAGATCCTTCCTTTGTGCTTCTCTACTGCCACCCATTCCCCTTTCTCGTTAAGTGAAAGACCCTTCTGAGGGCTGTGAACCTTTTTGAACCTGAATCACTCTA